ATGAAAGGAATCGGTAGATAAAAAACATTCAGCACTCTACAAACCCCAAAGCCTTAAAGACTCATTATGTTGAGTCTATAAGGGAGAGCGGGGTGAGTTGAGACAGTTTTTACTTGAGGTGTCTTTAAAGCGAGGACATGACAGTAATGTCTCCAACTAAAATATGTGCATATATTTTAGGATGTGGTGCATCCCTGGGAATAATCAATCTGGATCTAAAATAAACTGTTTTCAAAATATGGCTTTCTAAAAAAAAAAGTGGACTCTTGGCTCAACTTGCCCCATATGAGAGGCGAGTTGAGCCACATGGGGATCAGTGTCATTTTATCATGCAAACTCAAACGCCAGGTCCCAACATTCAGTTTCACTTAGATAGTAAAACATTGCAGCTATGTCTCCTAGTTGTTTCATATCAATGTATCACTTCCTGTCCTGTTGATACATCATGTCCCGTGCCACCTGATGAATGGACTTCCTATTTTGTACCTCTCCCACTACTCTGTCCAAATTCACAATAGGAGTTGAAGCCTGTTTTCCATTTATAGAAGCATGACATGATGGTTTCTGGTCTAAAATGCACAATGTCACATCATTTTGGTGATGCTTAAAAATGGTTGGCTCAACTTCCCCTGGGTCTTTTGGCTCAAATTACCACATCCAGCAGTTTAGAGTTAACATCATGCTAACAGCATGGCCTCATATTAACTTCCTAAAGCAATAACACGTTTCTTTTCTTATACCTTATTTACCCCTTAAGCCTTTACTTATGACTTTTATTGTCTGATACTGCATGCTTTTGCAATGTGTCAGGTTACTTGACACAGGAAGCTACAGCTTTAACAAATTAGATCTCCAGAAAACTATCATTAAAGCAAATCTTCATTCGTAGAATTATTGTCAATACTGATGTTAATATCATCAACTATGATAACACTAATAAAAAAATAATTGTAAATACTGACTTGAATAACGGTTTATTGTACTAGTGAGTGACTGGTGTAGCCCATAGACTGTATAAGGTATAGGCCATGACAAAACGTGATGGTGCAGTTTCTCACTGTAACCGCTGGAGGGGAGTGATGAACATGATTCTGAATGCACTCGTTAACTCCACCTGTTGTTTTTGTTTGATTGTTATTAACGCAGATATTAAAAACATTTCCATGTCAAATGAGGAATGTTCACTTTTAGTCCCTAACTGTGATTACTAGTGAACAATCAAGTGTCACTCGATCATGTTTATAATTATTATACTTCGATATATTTTGTAAGCTGATCATGTAAGTTCTTGATCCTCAAAGCTATCAAATAAATGTAATGTAAATTGTACAATATATTCCCCTAAATTTGTAGTAGAGACAAAGTACGAAGTAGCAGAAAATAGAAATACTCAAGTACCTTAAAATTGTATTTAAATTGTACAGCACTTGGGAACTCTCTTCCACGAGACTGATTTCTTCTTTGGGACTATAAGGTAAAAGTTGAGGTTTTACTTTTGTACTTTGACTTAAGTAAGATTTGCAGGAGTTTTACTTGTAATTAAGCATTTTTACATGGCAACTATTACTTCCAATATGATCTGTCTATGTCTTACACTCCTGTGCACATACAGTTTAATTATTTATTTTATTTACTCAGGACAACAATCATATGGTACGGAGCAAAAATCAAGACCGAATAAAATAACAAAAAGACAAAATGCTTGAAGTAAGCAAAGTAAAAAATGAATACACAAAACATTTTATTGTGTTATTTTTAGCTAAAAATATGATTAAGTTGATAATATAGTAGTGTAGTGAAGAAGAAGAAGAAGAAGAAGAAGAAGATAAACTTTATTAATCCTGCGAGGGGAAATTCAATGTTTTCACTCTGTTATTATTATGTTAGTATTTACACACAGGGCCGAAAGACACACACATGCACAAACAGGATCCATAGCAACACACGGAGAGATGAGCAGTTGGAGGTTCAGGGGCTTGCTCAAGGCCTCCTTCGGCAGTGCCCAGGGAGGTGACGTATTTATTGACTTATAGACATGTAGAGACATGGACATTAAACAGCACATGTTCATAAAAAATAAACACAATCAGGAGAGATATGATCAACTATAAAAACACTAATAACTGACTGTCACTAACTGACTCTCACAACCCCCAACCCTCCCTTATATACTGTAAATGTTTGCACATGTAAATCTGGTGTAAATATTTTGCACATCATTTCACAAACTTGCATTTACTCATTTGGCAGATGCTTTTCTACAAATCAACTTACAGGAACAACATACAAGCATCAATAGAGTAAGAGTTCTTTGAGTAACAATAGATACTAAAAAGAGCAGCAATAAATAGTATCAAGAGCTATTAACACATATGGCAGGAATGGGATAAATACCCAGGGAAGATGTAAGAGTTAATCAAAAGATGCAATCAATATACAGGAAGTACATGTTAGAGGTTGCATGTTACACACATTCTTTATTATTATTATTATATATACGTTATGTTTATTGTTATGAACGAAGACACCATAGCAAGTTCCTTGTATGTGTAAACCTACCTGGCAATAAAGCTGATTCTGAAGCTGATAATGCTAATGCGAGCAGTTATAAAATGAGTGAAAAGCACTTTCAGCACTCAAAACACAAAAGGTACAGTTATCCTCAGGGTCCATTTTTACAGAAAAGGATTACACGTGGAGGGGGGCCACATGTGAAAAATGTAGCCTAATTGAGTTTTGAGTTTAAAGTCAGAATTCTAAGTTGCCCAGAAATCAATGTTTTAATGTTTCTAATGTAAACCACGCATAAAAGGAAAGGAAATTTATGTTTGGTAGATTATTACTACCAAATTATTTTGGTAGGTTACTATAATAATTATTTCTTATTTCTATACTTGCAACAAATGCCAGGTGAAGAATGGGATGCCATCCCACAGCAGTGTTTGACTCAGCATGTGGAGGAGGTGCCAAACTGTTGTGGCTGTGTATGGTTCTTCCACACGTTACTGACGCTCCTGTTTGTTCAATGAATAAATTGTTAAATTGCCAAGATGTCTTGTTTCTTCAGACTTCAATCATCCAATCCACCAAACAACACCAAACAGAGTCAACAGCAAAGAAAAGCTGTTTGGCATTGTCAGAGAAGGTTTGGCAAAGTGGCAAAAAAAACACACATACTCAGCTCTGCTGCTCATCCCACACATGTCCCTTAGAAATGTGGCACATTGAAAAGGGACATAAACAGACTTTCCAGTGGTAACAGATTTATTGCCAACAAGTATTGTTACAACAAAGAAATAATATACCAAACACAAATGTCCTTACTTTTGTGCATAGTTTATGAACATGTTTTTAGAAACCTGGTGTAGCAAATAGACAGACAGAATAACCTATTAGTATTATGAAAATACGTTTTTTTGCATCTGGTGTAGCAAATGACAGAATAACATTTTACTGTTAAAGTTGTCCAAAAATGTATCTAGTTTCAGTGTTTCTAAAATATGTTTCTAGTAACCTGTTGTAGCAAATGACAGAATAACATTTTAATTTCCAAGTTGTCCAAAGATTGATCTAGTTCCAATGTTTCTAAAATATGTTTCTAGTAACCTGTTGTAGCAAATGACAGAATAACATTTTAATATCCAAGTTGTCCAAAGATTGATCTAGTTCCAATGTTTCTAAAATATGTTTCTAGTAACCTGTTGTAGCAAATGACAGAATAACATTTTACTGTTAAAGTTGTCCAAAAATGTATCTAGTTTCAGTGTTTCTAAAATATGTTTCTAGTAACCTGTTGTAGCAAATGACAGAATAACATTTTAATATCCAAGTTGTCCAAAGATTGATCCAGTTCCATTGTTTCTAAAACATGTTTCTAGTAACCTGTTGTAGCAAATGACAGAATAACATTTTAATATCCAAGTTGTCCAAAGATTGATCCAGTTCCATTGTTTCTAAAACATGTTTCTAGTAACCTGTTGTAGCAAATGACAGAATAACATTTTAATATCCAAGTTGTCCAAAGATTGATCTAGTTCCAATGTTTCTAAAATATGTTTCTAGTAACCTGTTGTAGCAAATGACAGAATAACATTTTACTGTTAAAGTTGTCCAAAAATGTATCTAGTTTCAGTGTTTCTAAAATATGTTTCTAGTAACCTGTTGTAGCAAATGACAGAATAACATTTTAATATCCAAGTTGTCCAAAGATTGATCTAGTTCCAATGTTTCTAAAACATGTTTCTAGTAACCTGTTGTAGCAAATGACAGAATAACATTTTAATATCCAAGTTGTCCAAAGATTGATCTAGTTCCAATGTTTCTAAAACATGTTTCTAGTAACCTGTTGTAGCAAATGACAGAATAACATTTTAATATCCAAGTTGTCCAAAGATTGATCTAGTTCCAATGTTTCTAAAACATGTTTCTAGTAACCTGTTGTAGCAAATGACAGAATAACATTTTAATATCCAAGTTGTCCAAAGATTGATCTAGTTCCAATGTTTCTAAAACATGTTTCTAGTAACCTGTTGTAGCAAATGACAGAATAACATTTTAATATCCAAGTTGTCCAAAGATTGATCCAGTTCCATTGTTTCTAAAACATGTTTCTAGTAACCTGTTGTAGCAAATGACAGAATAACATTTTAATATCCAAGTTGTCCAAAGATTGATCTAGTTCCAATGTTTCTAAAACATGTTTCTAGTAACCTGGTATAGCAAATGACCGAATAACCTATTAGGCTACTTCTATGAAAATATAGTCTATTTTTTGCGTCTGAGAATTCTGATTTTAAACTCAAATACATTTTTCACATGTGGCGCTAATCCTCTTCCGTATCTTCCGTACATTTTAAACCTCTTTACATGTATGTAATTTGCCTGCGACAGTGACATCCCTTGTTTAACTCGTAGTTGTGACTTGTCCGACAACCCGTGAACGCGTCAGGAGCAGATGCGGACCAATAGCGTGCGACATCCTGCCGAGAACAAAAAAAAAAAACCGTTCTGTTGGAAAACCGAGAGACGTGAAGCGAAGCGGCGGAGGGGCAGAGAAACTCACAGGCACCGGCACCAGCGTCTGCAACAAAGCTTGCCATAAAAGTGAATGAGAGCGTGAATATCCACCTCCAGACAGTGAGTGAACAAACCGCCTCGTTATCAGCCGGAGTGCCGCAGACAAGACGCGCAGATGGTGAGTGCTTTCTCTGTCTCTCTCTGTGTCGGCTGTTTGCACCGTGTGTCCGCAGCCTCCCCCTCCCTGCGCTGCTCTCCTCTCTGCTTCTTTTTTGTGTGTGTTTGAGAGAGAGAGAGAGATGAGGTGAGGTGATGATGTCGGTCCACTCGCTACTAAAAGGTTTAGCCAAACCAGGAACCGGGTTTTTTGTACAAGCCGCAGTAATTAGGCAGGTTAACACGAGAAGAAGAAGAGGAGGAGGTTTTTGTTTTTAAATGTAAAGAGAATTTAAACGCCTGCCGTCGTGTTGCTCAAAATGCTAGCTGTCGCCTCTTGATCTGCTAGCTTGCTGGCTAATTAATATCACCCAATGAGGTGATTTAAACCCACTTAATAATACATTTCCCCCCCAGCTAATTTGAGTAACGGATGATTAATTTAAACATCCCTCCCTATCAGCTGATTTGTAAATTGATATATGGTTTTATATTGCCTGGCGTGATTTTATGTTTCAGTTTTGTTTGAGCAGCCTTAACGGATTAATCAGTTTTGTTGTTGTTGTTACAAATAAGCTATGTGTTGTAACTAAGCTCCAATCTGCTGAGTGTTATATAAAGGTCTGTAGTAAAGTATTTACAGAAAGTGAAGGACTCTGTAATAGGGATTTCCAAGTGATTTAACCCCATAGACCACAAACAGAATTAAACAAACACATAAGTAAAAGCAGAACATCCTTATTTATTATAAGTTAGACGACAGTAACGCGGTTATGATGGAGGTGGGAAGTTTAAAGCGACCTCTGATCATATGTTGTTCCCTTATTGATCTCACTGAGTATGTTCACATCCTGCTTTAATGTTGTTTGTAACATGAGATACATGATCATAACAGTACTCCGGTTTCTAATCACCTCTCTCAGCCACTCGTTTCTGTACCAACAGAGAGTGATCAGAATTCTCCATCAGGTCTTTTTACATGCTAGGTTTCTCAAAACTGCGATCCAGGTTTGAACCCTGCTTGATATGGACGATCTACCTTGTACAAGTATCCCTGGACCCCATTTTTGGAAACATAAATTTTCATTGCAGCTTATGATCTCCCCACCATCAGCTGAGTAATACCAAATGGATGAGTGACTGGATTAATCCTCTGTGAATCAGATTAAAAACTCCAGGTGGAAGTTGTTACACACATTTCTTGCTTGTGTCTGTGTTGTCGAGCAGATAAACTGCTCTGTGGTCTGGTAAAGCCACTTTTTATCCACCCGTGTCACCACATTTACAAACCGTCTTGTCATTATAGCCCTGGCATATGGCGACAAGGCTTTAGAAAGTATAGGGCCATTTTCATTTCCTACCACCGCCAGCGAGTTGCCTGACTGTAATTTCAGTCAGAGCTGACGGCACAAACTGACACCCTGCCCTGCTGGCTGATTTACGTCAGTATTCTGGCTGGATTTGAGAGGCTGTTGTTGCTATTTGACTTGTTTGTCCTAAAAGAAATAATGCGGATTTAGACAAAGTACATTGTACAAAGCGGCATTTGGGACTAATAACATTTATTGTGTTCGACCATATGCTCTTCTGTCAAACAATTACCATTAACGGAACAAAAACCTGATTGGTTGGGCATGTCAGAAGTGACATATGTTGGGAAGGGGGGGTGTTTTCCTGCTGTCAGATACAGTATTAAATGGGTCACCAGCAGGTCCAGGCAATAGAGCTGCATGCAAAAATAGTCAGTGTAATAGTTTTAACTAGCTGCACCTGTCTGTTTCTTTCTCATTCCCAATCATTTATTGTGTTAGGGTTTGCTTTGAAAATGAGACGTAGGGTGGTTGTGTGAACAAAGCAACATGAAGCCTTTTTTCAGGCCTGGAAAAGGTGTAGATGTTTCTCAGTGTGACTTTAATATTATTGTGGATGGCTAGTATTGTCACTGTTATATTTTATGATGTTGTCCTCCACAGAATGTCACGTTTTTGCAAGCCAAATCACTTTTGTGGCGAAGAGTTCACAAGAACTCATTATTTTCCAGTCATCAGACAAATGTGAAGTTGCCAATTTGGCACATATTTGCATGCACTCAATAAACCTTTCAGCTGTTGATTTAAAAAGAAATGGCCTCCTTTTTGGGGGGAATTATAAATTATAAATCTGAATGTAGACTGTAAACCTGTATTGAAGTTTTCTGGCTCAAGACTTTGAAAGCACATTCTTTTCACTTTGATTTGTTTCGTTCATTTCATTTTCCTGACATAGTTCACTTCAGTGTACTGAAAACCAGATCTCAGGCAGACGATTTGTGGGTCGGCTGCACAACCAATAATGCAACAAATCTGTCGGTAAGATGTCAAAAGCCAACAATAGCTCTTTATTTATTATGTTTACATGATTTGTTTTTCATCTTGGTGCAGTCCAAATGCCTTACACTTACCTGTCTAACAGCAGCTTTCTGACATGTAAATCTTTTAGGTTAGACGAGTTGTTGCAGGAAGACACCGGTAACATCAGAGAGAGGAGTTTGTTGTGTTGGAGCAACGTTAGGAAATAAAGTCTTGCTAGCAGTTCCTTTATGGACACAACAAAGTCCTCTCTCCAACTCTGACTCTCGTTTCTACCTGTCTCTTCCTGCAACAACTCACCCCTCAAGAGATTTCAGAACGTTTAAAAATACCGAAATTAAGCTTTAAGATTCTCAATATAATTGACTAAACAACAACAATGCACTCATATCTCTTTCAGCTGTCAGTGCTGATATAATGTAGGTTATCTGGTTTGAAAAAAGACCTTAGGGCAGAAACACTGTACGTGCAGAGTTTCCCTCAGTATTATTAGTCAACAGTAGACATATGAGGAGTCACGTTTTAAATCTGCAGAGTTCTGTGGGAATATACTCACTGGAACTTATCTACGTTTTTAATCTTTGGAAATGACAACTTAAAACGTCTTTATTGGGCGAGGGAAGTCTAAAGCTTTCACCCTCCCGTACTTTAGCCTTCCTTGTCCCGGTTGACAGCATCGCAGTCTGCAGTTAAGGAGCCTTCAGTGTGTGATGGCAATGATCTGTGGTCACAGAGCTGATATTTGCATGTGAGATTTCTTTTTTGTGGGCTGGATGGGGCATGTTATGCTGAATTCCAGTCCTGGATGAGAATTTGTTTTTGAGGTGTTACCCTCTTCTTCAGTCTGTGATAGTATCTAATCAGTCGAAGCACTTGAGGCTGTTTCTTTTCTAACCTTAGCGAGTTGCAAAAGGCAGAGGCCTCTCGTTAAGTCACGTCACCTCAGGCCCACAACAACACATTATTTCAAAGGTCATCGCTGGTTTTGTCCTTTGCAATTTTAAGAAGAAAACCTAAACAGACCAGCTGCTGCAGCGTACCTGCAGCAATCATTAGTTTTATGGACATCACAGATCTCAACATCTTTTTGATTTAGGGTCACTGGGCAAAAATCAGAGATGTCCTACACATTTTCCTTTAAGAACAGATCTTCTATTTGGCTTTCTCACTTTATTATTGGTATCTGATTTATGAATTGAAAATTGTACAGGACATTGTTTTAGTTTGGCACTAGACAGATCTCTGTCACAAATGATCAGATGACTCAAGTAGTTTTTGCCCTCAGGTGGCTTCTTCAAAGAAGAAACAAAAGGAAAGACTCAGGGCTTTTTCAGTATAGTTAGACATAGACAGAGCAGAACTTAAGGTTCTGGAAGCAAAAGTTGCTGACTACTAATTACAAATGAACAATCAGTATCACTTTCTTTATCTGAAAGGGCAGCCTGCCTCTCAGAAATGATTCGTGCAAAATGAGTGGTTCTTGTTTCCTTTTTTGTTTCCTTTACTTACGAAAGGCTCTAGTTCTCCCTTGAATCAATTAAACAGCAAAGAAAAAGAACACTTGATTAGGCCATTAATCCATTAGTGGGTCAACAGAAAAAATAACTGGCAACTATTTTGATAATCGGTTAATCCTTTAAGTAATCTTTCACCCAAAAATGTCAAACATTACCTCGTTCCAGCTTTTCCAATGTGAGGACTTTGCTGCTTTTCTCTGTTCTGTATCAATGTAAATTAATAACTTTTGGTTTTATATTGTTGATCAGACAAAACATTGCACATTTGAAGACATCACGTTGAGTTTTTTCTAACGTTTAATAGACAAAATTATTAGTCAATTACTTAAAAGAAAAACAATAGGTGCATTAATAGATAATGGAAATAATCTGTAGTTGCGGCCCCTTTTTTTTCTACTTTCAAGTTAAGCAACTTTTAAGCACTTGTCATGCTACAGCAACGTAGCCCCATATTTAAATACATCCTTAAAAGGTCCTTATATGGTCGTTTACAGCCTTCACAGACAGGAAGTAAAGCGAAAGAGTGAAAAGTGAACAAAACAAGTGTCTCTCAGCTGACTAAGGAGACATAAAGACTTTCGATGCCTCGGGCCTTCAGACTGAGAAAACTGCCCCGTCACTTTCTCGTTGCATACAGGAAGCTGAAAAGGGGAAGAGAAGTAGTGGCTGACCAAATGTAAGCATAGCACGCTCCCAGATGTGATTACTCTGCAGACTGGTGAACTGAACCGCCATCTGTACTCGGAAGGATCAGGCTGTTTCATCCTACTTTCATCAGTTCCCCAGCTAGTCAAGTGTCAAAACCTCATGTTCAGCAAATATTTGCTTTTCCATCACTGTATGGTTTTTATTAACCCCATACCCATCTTGAGTTTGACTTGGGTTTTTTTCTTCCCAGACATCTTGTCCACATAACTTGTCTTGGTTTCTTAATGTTCAGAGTTATTGATGGGAGACTGCTGTCAAGAGGAGCCTACATATCTTCCCTGCAGCAGCTTTTAGTTGTTGGATCAGTGTCATGACTTGCAGCTCCAGAGAGTGCCATATACAACAAGAAATATTAAACAGCTGGTTTATGTTGCTGGACTAGAAAATGTTGTTTGTCATGATTTGGATTAAAGTCAAACTGTTAGATGGACATATTAACACTGTTTCGTAGTGTTTGAGGGATAAGGTTCTTAACATTTGTGCTGTTTTATACTCCCAAATGATTAAACAATGATCACATTTCTAAAAATAAGGCATGAGTGAGGTTGCAAACCTTGTTTTAGATTAATGACATAAGACGTTTGTTAACACAGCACCTTCCTTCCCTTCTAGGGGTCTGTTGTGGTTAATCGTGCACCACAGTGCATATTCAGTGATTATCAAGTGTGAGGCAGAGGAAGTTTGTCTAATTGTTTTGTGTCCATCGGCACTAGAACCATTTAAACTTTTGAACCCTTTTTAAACACGCTGACCTTTCACCCTCATAATATTATTTTAGAGTTGTTGTGAATTACGTCCGTAGATAGCTCTTGTAAACACTTGAGATTTGGACAAGAGGGGTCTGGTTTGTAGTTTTGGTTAGCCACTTGCACACGTTATTTTGAGGTTGCGTGCTGTCTAAACTACACCCTCAAATTCTCGTCCTATTACTGTTTTTCCTGATTTTGAAAGATTAAGGACAGACTTGGGGGTCATTTAACTCGCCTGTGAAATGGGTGGTCTGTGGCCTCAGGGGAAAAGACAGTGGGATTTGGGACAGTAATGCTTTGGATGTTTGTTTTTTAGAGGGTCCTCAACACAAAAGGTTAAACCCAAATGTGTCCTTCAGTGTGCAGATGAAGAGACAAGCAGCCCATTACCTTATCTTTTTTGCTGTCTCTATAGTAAAGATGTAGCTACAGTCAGCTGCCGGTTTAGCATAAAAACTGGTTCTGTCAAAGCGTAACAAAATCAACAATAACAGCATTTCTAAGCTCACTAATGACTTTGTTTAATCTGTACGAAACCAGAAGGGTACAAATGATTATCGTTTTAGGAGAGGTTATGTGCCACATATTCCAGTCTTCATGCTAAGCTAAGCTAACCATCTGCTGGCTGTAGCTTCATTTTGAACATACAGAGACCAAGAGTGGTGTTGAATTTTTTTCACCTAACCCTCTGCTTGATTATGGCGTGAGGGGAGATTTCACCACTTGTGTGAAAGTAGTCTTTGTTTGGTAAGATACAACTTCTCCAGCTGGCTGTAGTTTCTCACACTGGTCTGTCAAATTGCTTTAGTTACTGTGTGCATAGCAGAGCCAATTAATTACACTACAATACCAACTTCTTAATCTATGTTCACATTCATTTCCCGCCCCTTCATGTGTTTGGTTATCCATTGTCTCTTTTATTAGCCAGGAGGACTCTTGAGCTCATTTGAGAGTTATATGCTTCTGAACAAAGATCCTAATTCTCTCTTGTAGTTTTATTCACTTTGCAGCTAAAGCATTCATACAGAACAAGAGGTCGTTAGCAGTCATTTATTTGGATGAAAGTCAGTTAGGACTTTAGCTGCTGCTGACAGAGATACACAGCCGTGTCACAACAGCTTCCTGCCACATTGACATTCAAGCTGTTTGATGGCATTTCAGACTCATGTACATATAAGGCAAAAGAAGACAAGATGGCACACAAGCTAATCTGATGTCTTTCGGGATGTCTTAGTGTGTGTGTGTGTGTGTTTGGAATGCATGCCTATCCCCTAACATGGTAATCTTGCTGCATTTTTTTTTACCCCAAATAAAACATTTCTGAGCAATTCTGTGCCTTCACTCAGATCAGTTGTCCTTTTTTAGCTACATTAATTTTATAATTTCATATGCTCAATGAAGCCCTTATTGACCTGTTTTTCCTGCTCTTACAGCCTCCCACTGAAGTAAACTTTCTCTGCAAATGTACTGTGAGAACTTTCAAACTTGAGTTTTCAATGGTGTTTTTGAGAAGATCAAAGTCATGTTTCAGTTGTACTGCAGCGACAGGAAGTGGTCTAGCATGCTGCCTGCTAGATAACCAGCAAAGTGTGAGCTGTCTGCCAGCCAGCAGCAACGTGTTTACTGAGCTCAAGAGGAATCAGGGATGGAAGAAGAGAAGGCAGACAGTTGGGATTTGATTGCATCTACAGGAAGCTGCATGGCCTTGCTGTTAATGAGCCAAGCATTTCAAAAGCATGTTATCCGGTTCTCATGAGCGTAGACAACACCCTTGCTGCTCCTCCTACTCAGTTGTTTGGTGGTGCATTAAGGCAAAGCCATCAAAAATAGTATGCAAATTACAATACAAAGGCAACATTCATGCTGTTTAGATTTTTTAGGGCTACTCTCATCTTTCCAATTTGTCAACCATTAGGATAGTGCCTTTACTGTTGTTACCATGACTTTAATACATGTGGTTGTGTTCGGTTTGGAGCTATGTTCAGTGAGCTCCTGGGATTTTATACTCTCCTTGCTTAGACGTCAACAATTTAAAATGACTTGTTAATGGCAGTACAGGATGTTGACGTTGATAAAGTGTTTAATTGGATGTTCTAGTCAAAACTTTCATTCCCATCTATATATTTTATCTATAATCAGCTTCTATTTGATTGGTCTGGGAAATTTACTATGTCATATATAGATATTATGATATAAAATTACACAAACTGTGCTAGAAGATTTGTTCCAGATGGCATTTCAGCCATCTTCAGTTTCTTGCAGATTTTGTAAGTGCAACATACTTTAATCATTGGTCAGTTAAACAGAACTTTGATGTCACATCAGCAGGACAACATTTTTATGAGGAAGATGGATGCACGTACTTCATGCTGTCACTTTTATCACTGTGGTGGACTCTTTGCCTATACAGCAGGGCATTTATCAGGTGAAATAGTAATAGACCTGCAAAAATGAAAATCAGCAGTTGCTTCTGATGCCAAAGATTTCCTTCTCTTTGCCCCTGAACCCCACAACCTCCACAACTTCCTCCAGCTCCAGCCAAACTGCCTTACATAACAGGGTTTTAGCAAAGTAACAAAACAGAGGCTGCCCTTCTTCCCTGCACACTGGCTTTTCCATGGCAGTTACTCTCTACACGTCTGAATGTCTCTCTGTCTGTTCGTTATCCGCTTGAACTACCTGTTAGCCCTGCTTAAAGATGAGGCCTCGCTTGTTGCTGCTGGAGACCGGCTGTAATTCTCGAGAGGGCATATACAACCTTTACTACTGTGTAACTTCCTCCAGCTTGAGATTCTGCAAGCTTTTCTCTCTTAACCTTCTGCGTGCCTAAGGCGAAGTCTTTCAATTCCTCATGTCATCATGAACCAAACTGTAATTACCGGACAAAAACATCAATACCACAGCGTGTTGGGAAATGTGGTGACCTATGTTAATATACAGCTAGAGAATGAAAGACTAAACCTACGATCGTGCATTATAATAGGGTTCAGTGAAAGACATGCTTCATTACATTACAAAAAAAACCCCATGAAGTAATTATGAGGTTTAAGACTAGGTGTCTCCAACCATTTGTAAGAGATTTCATGTGATATTGCCCTGTTTAGTTTCTTAACAGAAAGGCTGGTCCCGAGCTGTTCTGCTATGTTCAGGGCAGCCCCATGCAGGGCGTCCCACAGCTCAGCTCACATGACCAGACAGAAGGCACCTGATCCTCTCCCAGGGGTGCAAAGAGACAGATGGAGCAAATAGAAAGAGGGGGAGAGAAAGAGAGATCAGATTGACAATTATAATACACAGGTAAAGGTAAAAAGAGGACAGTGAAAATCCTTGTGGAGTTCTTCTGTTGCTTGTAATCTAAAGCGACAGATATCTACTGTTTATTTCACCTACTATTTGTTGTTGCACTTTAGAGGTTAACGTAACTTTACACACATTTGAATATATTTGTTTAAATGTGTGTTTTTATTTTCTTATTTAGGACACCAGGAACACCACTGAAGACAAACCTGTCCAGCGATCTAAGGTAAGTATGCGTTGTTTGTCTCTTTTTTTCCTCATTCATAGTTCCTTGTTCTTCGTCATGCATTACTCTTGACCCATTTCACTGTTATCACCTGTTGATCTCAGAGGAGAGCCAAGGAAGTCTTTGCTGCATTTTTGTGTCTCTTGTAAATACTAGCTTTCATCTCACTAACGATCAAGGCCTAGATGACTGCCTGTTTGTGTGTCTGGTAGTAAATCGGTATATTTATGTGGTCAGTCTTTCAGCTTTAAGACCCAAAAGGAAGTGTGTTCATCATGTGACAAGACGGTCTACCCAATGGAGAGATTGGTTGCCAACAACCTGGTCTTCCATTCAACATGCTTCTGCTGCAAGCACTGTAACGCCAAACTCAGGTGATTATTTATAGTTTACTATTTTCCCGTGTGTTTACTTTCTTCTCCTGAATCCTATTTCGTTTGTATATAACGGTTCCATTCCTCTCTTCCTTGCAGCCTTGGCACCTTCGCAGCTCTTCAGGGTGAATTTTACTGTAAACCCCACTATCAGCAGCTGTTCAAGAGCAAAGGCAACTACGACGAGGGCTTCGGACGCAAACAGCACAAAGAGCTCTGGGCCTCCAAGGACTCAGATAATATAACAAAGACAGCATAATAATCATGTCTGCCTGTGTCCCATCCCAGCCCTGCCTCTCCCTTTTCCTTCTCCTAACACCTCCAATACATCACGATGAACACATGCCGCATAGGCTGGGGGCACTGCTAAATCACCCACTCACTCGCTCGCTTTTTACATGCCATCAGAACAGATACATGCACAAACAGCTAGGAAATGACGGGCAAATCAGAGTCCATACCACATAAAAAATTAATTTTGGGGAAAATATTTAGGATTTGATTTTATTGATAGCTGTATTTTTTAATTTTTATTTTCCAGTTTCTTATTTGGAATTGGTAGTTGATTGTGACCAAAAGCCTTCTCTGATATGGGGAGTCTAATAAAAATAATAATCACTTTTCTTTTTTATTCCTTTTAATGATTTGCACCCTTTTTATTTTATTTTATTTTTTAAAATAAGTAAACTGTATGCTCAGGCAAACATATCAGAGGGGTTACAGAGCATCAATGTTTTGCAGTAGAGCATACACTCAGGTCAATTTCCACAAAAAAAGATTGCATAGTTTCACTCATTTTTAACAATACAACACAAATCAAAATAATAGTCCTCAGTATTGTAACTTTGATGTCAGTTTGTCAGGTTTCATATATTTGAGGAACAAACAGGGTACAGAGTACTGTAAAATAACTGCGCACATCAGCAACAGCTCACCTCTCGTGTTTTTGTGTTTAGTTTTATTATTGTTCGCCTCATCCCATGGTTTGTTCTTTTATTGACCACTTTGAGTCTTATCCTTGCATGTTGAGATGAGTGGGTCTTAATAGCCTTATCTTATTCTGACTGACTGTATCGCTCTTTGGTGTTGTGAATGATTTGTTTTATTAGTTTTCATTGATAGCAAACCACTTTTGAAAGTTTTTAAAAGCACTTGAGTTTGGATTTGATTGATGTCACGGCATAAGTTGATCCTCGCTGAGCTTTTATGGTGGAAATTTTAATGGAATTCTCAGATTGTGTTTTGTATACTATCTGTACATAGAGCTGTCGTTCGTGATTAGTGAACATTCCCCGTCACACTGTACTCCCGTCCTGCACAGAACGACCACACGTGCTCACCGGACAAGATGTTGATAATCACAGGGAAACTGAGGCCTCGTTCGTCAACATCCCTCACTCCTTCGTATGAAACACTTCAAGAGGAGCTCTAAACGTTTTTGTTAAATTCCTTACTACAGTTACGTTTCTGTGTCACCAATGAGGGTGTTGATGGTCAGAGCTTAAGCCTTGCAGGAAATCACACAGTTTTGTTCCTTCGTCATGTCACACTTGATAGTTGTTGGCGTCTTGTGATGATTTTTCCCCCTGCTGTATTTGAGTGTGTTCGTATAACTGGACGTGTAACTTTTTAAGGGCACGTAGACAGATCCAATTACAGTGTCTTGAACATCCATGGCTATTTGCAACCCCACCCCCACCCCCACCCTATCCCATCCGATAAGCGTGGACAGGTTTCCTTTTTAGATAAATGCCTTCCTGTTCTCATCTCCTTATTCGCTAAATACATCTTAGCACATGGACCTATTTCTTAATATTGAACTTACAGTAGGTGTCTGAGGGTTTGGTGTTGGTCCCCTGTTGTGCTCCTGCATGCTGCATGCTAAACCCAGTGCAGAGCAGCCCCTGCTGGGGAAAGTGTGACAGTAGCGTCTAGTGTGAGAGGAAGATAAATAACTTGACCATGAACTCAACGTAGCCTTTCTTTCAAAGTTTTGGAATACTTGCCTGGTCTGCAGTGCAGCTACTGCACTCCAGACACTTTTTATCTTATTCAATTCACCTTAAAAGAAGTTAACCCAGTTAGACAAGATTTCCACATCTATATTTCATTCTATACAAAGAATGAGTCTAAAGCCATTTAAATATCTCATTTTAGAAAATGTCTGAATACCGCTGAGACTTGACTGACACTTGAATGACACAAAGAACTGTTTGTGACGGAAAGTTTACTGTGAATTTGAGCATACTGTGCAGAATAGAAGGTTATACTAAAACTTTTTTTTTTCGTAAGAGAAGCCTTAGAAAGAAGTATCTGACCTTACTGCTTTTTCAAACAAGACTTGAGTGCACAGATCTATACAAAGAAATCTCCTGATCATGCCTTTTCAAAAACAGACCTGCTTACTCTACAGCCCAATTCTTTAACATAGGATTACTTCACTCAACCAGCAGCCATTTTTCCGATCTAACCACTTTTTTTCCACATTTAATGTCAAATAATTATAATTCTACTGTGTGTGTGTGTGTGTGTGTGTGACAATTTATTGTTTAATTTGAATATGGTCCTCTGGGTCCCTGAAAATGCTTTAAAATCAAGCGTCTTGTATCTAGAAATGCTGTCTTTGTCATTCTCTGTTAGCAGTTCGCCAAGGTACAACTGCTGAATCTGTGAATTGCAACTTCTGAGTGTAACAGAGCAGAAAAGGTACATTTTACACTGGTGCCAAGAGGCTCAGGTGAATGCTTGCAGTGTAACGTTTTAAATGTTAAACCTGTGAGTCATTCCACTTTTTGTGCTAAACTTGATGTGGACTTATTTTTCAATGCTGTTGTCAGAGACATTTTAAATGTATGCATCTTTGAAAATGTATTCTGTATTACAGACTTGACTTGTGGATTGAGGTGGCCTTACAGCAAAAGGACGTTTGGACTGTGTATGCAGTCTTTCTCCTCTATTCTCCCTTATCTTACTTAGTTGTGGTATGGAAGTGTAACATTTTAAAAAGTAAGCCCCCTTTCTACTCCTATGTACACAATCATTTTGTGCATTTTCTTTCTTTTAATTTTTTTTTTTTACATGCTTTTGGAGAAAAAAATAAATGCTGGTGTTGATTTAATGCAGTGATTTTTGTGTGTGTGTGTTTACTGATGTAAAGATACCTAAGTCCTTGAATTTCTAGGAACTTAATTACTGAATACTTGACCTAAGGATTTCCGTCCATCCATCTTCATCCGCTTATCCGGGGTCGGGTCGCGGGGCTCAAGGATATCAAAATGTTCAATTATGGTTTAATCGTATAAATTTATGAAGTGGTAACGTCTTCCGGAAAAGTGTTGACCATAACATACTGAACTTAACCAGAGCGTGTTAAATAAGTGGTGGAAAAAGTATTCAGATTCTTATGGTAGTACGTTTTATAAACTGATCATATTGTAGCCTGTGTGAAAATTGTTTTATATTGTATTTAGAGATTTGTACTATTGGTTGGACATAACCGGCACTGTGAAGGTGTCATTTTGGGCTCTGAGGAATTGTCAAGGCATTTCGCACTATTCTTAATTTTAAACAAAACAATCAATAGTATGGATTAATGTTAACAATCATTATCATATTAACAATAGATAATGAAAAGAAATCATTTGTTGCAGTCCTATACAAAATGGTTAAATGAGCTCCATCTGAACCAAATATAATGCTAAATCCTGCTTTTACATGAGTAGTAATAATGATATAAGCTAACTGTCGGATTATACTTTCATATTTAGATTTAACAATTTATAATCGATTCGATTATTAAATGATTATCGATGCATCCTGATGGATACATTTTTCTAAACAGGATCCTTAGATAATTACTAAGCATTTGAATCCAAAAGAAACATCTCTTAATTTGCTTAAAATGACTAGTTTGCATCCCTAATGATATGTCATTTCATTAACACCAGTTGTCAGACTCCTCTGAAAACTGAAAAATAATGATCAGGATGTACAGTAGGCCTATGTGTAGGCTACAGGACAGAGCTGTACGCCAGTTTAGTCTAAGCTTGTACCTCATGTTCTCAAAATTGACTAGTAGGTTAGTTTGTAATGACATACAGCTGATAATCAATGTTACTAATTTAGCTAACGTTACATACATAAATAAATATTTTTAGCGCCTTTCACGGGACCCAATGACGCTTTACACATAGTTACAGTGACAGAACAACAAAAACTCATTCAGCCATTTCAGTTAAAATGTCAGGTTCTTGTGAAGTAAAAGAATGAGACAAAGATAAATCATAGATGAACTTTTTCCACCTTTAATAATGAGAACAATTCAATTGAAAAACAAACTGAAATCTTAGAGGGGGGAAATGAAAACTACAATAACTTGGTTGCTTAAGTGTGCACATCCTCTTAATAAGTGTGGCTGTGTTCAGAATTAACCAATCACATTCAAACTCATGTTAACTAGAAGTCATTACAAACCTGCCATCATTTAAAGTGACTCTAATCACAAATAAGCAGAGAGCTTCCAAAGCATCAGAGGGATCTCATTGTTGAAAGATAGCCTATCAGTCAGGAGAAGGGTACAAAATAATTTCCAAAGCATTAGATATACCATGGCACACAGTGAAAACAGTCATCATCAAGAAAATATGGCACAACAGTGACATTACCAAGAACTGGGCGTCCTTCTAAAATTAATGAAAAGACGACAAGAAAACTGGTCAGGGAGGCTTCCAAGAGGCCTACAGCAACATTAAAGCAAGTATTTCTGGAAAGTACTGGCTGTGTGGTGCGTGTGACAACTATCTCCCCTATTCTTCATATGAATTAGGCTATGGGGTAGGGTAACAAGACTGAAGCCTTTTCTTACAAAGAAAAACATCCAAGCACGGCTGAAGTTTGCAAAAACAAACATCAAGTCCCACAAAAACATGTGGGAAAATGTGTTATGGCCTGATGTCATGTTTCCCAAACTTAGGGTCGGGACCCAAAATGGGCCCAAGCCCTTTTTTATTGGGTCGCCAATACGCAGATTAAAATGATTAACGATGTTACATTATGAAAATATGTGAACGAATGATGTTTTTTGCTACACTTGTAGCTCAGATGCTGTGAGTTTTTTTCTCTCTCTTCTCCCTAACCTGATCTTCTGTCCACATTCAAAAATAATTTTTCTGTCTGTAGTCTGTGATCTGTCACTGTTTATCCTATGACGTCTAAAATACAAGGATGAGTTTATTAATGTTGACTTCACCAAAGCAATTCAGATTGGAGAGGAAATGCTTCAATGTGTAATATATGGAAAATTGCTCAGTAATGAGGGTTTTGAAATGAATAAATTGGACAAGTATCTCCAAACGCAACATTCGCTGTATCTGGGAAAGTCCCCAAATAAATTTAGTTGCAGAAGAAAGATGTGTTGATTCAATATGGCACAACATACCGGCAACAGACTAAATGCTCAGTGCAACCTCAGAATGGCACTTTCAAAAACTGAGCCCAGAGTAAAGATCAAAAAACTTCAACCAGCCACATGCTTCTCATTAAATTCAGGTTATGTCAAAAGACATGTTTGTGATGATGGGAGGAGATGGGAAAAATGGGTGGAGAGAAAGGGGTGGGACACAGAAAAAACAGACTGTTGTTTTTGTTTATTTTAGTAAGAAAAGTAATACATTTTATATACATTGTTTGTTATGTAGATCCCAGGGAGACAACTGATTTCTGTTTTAGGTCTTGAGCTGAAAAAGTTTGGGAACCAGTGGTCTGATGAAACCAAGGTTGAACTTTTTGGCCATAATTCCAAAAGGCATGTTTGGCACAAAATCAACACTGCACGTCACCCAAAGAAAACCATACCCACAGTGAAGCGTCATGCTTTGGGGCTGTTTTTCTTCAGCTGGAACCGGGGCCTTAGTCAGGGTGGAGTTTTGGCACAAAACCTTCAGGCGTCCGTTAGAAAGCTGACGATGAAGAGGAAGTTCACCTTTCAGCATGACAAGGACCCAAAGCACACATCCAAATCCACAAAAGCATGGCTTCAGCAGAAGAAGATTAATGTTTTGGAATGGCCCAGCCAGAGCCCAGACCTGAATCCAATTGAACATCTGTGGCGTGATCTGAAGTGAGATGTGCACAGGCGATGTCCTCGCAATCTGACAGATTTGGATTATTGCAAAGAAGAGTGCTAATAGAGACTGACTGCTGTAATGAAATCAAAAGATGTTTCAACAAAGTCACAGCAACCCCCCCCCCCCATTGAAGATTTTAGTTTGTTTTTCAATTGAATTGTTCACATTATAGGTCACATAAAAGGTTTGTCTCATTATTTTACATCACTAGAACCTGACATTTTAACTGGGGTGTTCCTTTATATCCACACAGAAATAAATTATATAGTGTCTTTTCACTTTGACATATCAGAAACACAAACATGCTCAAGCATTTTAAATGTTACAAATGTAAACACATAAAAAGGTAAAAATAAAACATCAAGCCACACACGCACACACAAAAGCAGGTGTGGCGTTTGTCTGTTTTATTTGTGCCCCTTCTCAAAACAATTTCTGTCAATGACAGAGGGCTACCTCACAGCACTTGCATTTCCATGTTGTGACAGGTTGTTTTTTGTCCACTTGGTGGCAGTGTTGGTAGGTACTGCGGCCTTGTGTGGCTTTCTCGCAGGCGTCTGTAGCCACGGCAATGGCAACATGCTCAGTGGTGGGAACTCCTGTCTTGTCCACTCCACACAGCTGGGGCACCATTTCAGTCAGGAAGTTCTTGTGCTGTACCTGTGTTTTTTTTTCATTTGCTGTTGCAATGTCCACAAAGTGCAGGAACAGGGTTCGATACCAGCAAGCAGTTTTGCGATGGGTGGAGTAACACTGGATAAGTTGGTCTGATGGGGCAACCCCACCCATGTTTTTATTATAGGCAACAATGAGAGGTGGGAAAAGGGAATGTCTTTCACTGCCCAGACCCCATCTCCACCCTTCACTCTCTGAATCACCTCACCAGAAATCCCTAGATACCATATAAATATGGTATCCAGTCCCAAGATAAGATGGCTGAATGAGGTCCATGACAGCATCATACGCCAGTCCATGCGCACAATGAAATTGATGGTGTAGCCGCTGCTTGACTCAGCCAACACAGAAAGCTTGATTCTGCATTTTGTTGGTTTGTCCTTCATATATTGGGGTGTAAAGTAGGAGGTTCAAAAGGTACATTTACTATCGTCATTGGGCGCATTGGTCAGAATGCGTAGAAGTATACCAGGAAACTTGGAATGTCCTCTGAACAACGTTTTATTTCTTCCAATGTAAAGGATGCATTTGTCAACATAATCAGGAAAAAAAATACACAAATTGTTTAATATGAAAGAAAGCAAACATAAGATTAGAAACTAAACTCACATGTCCATTTCAAGGAAATGTGAAAAGACAAACATCTAAGCTAAGTTTTTCATAAACATAGGATAAAACTAGAGTAAATTAAACTTCTCTTAACAGAACTGCTGCCCCATGTGGAAGTGAAAGAGTGAGTGAAAAAGAGTGCAGTCCTTAAATAGTGTGAACACGTGAACTCAATCAAGTCAATTAGGAGAAATGAAAGGTGAAAGCGGGAGCCAATTAGTGATGAGAAAAGGAATTAAAGGAATTAAAGTAAGTGAGGTAGGTGAAAGGAAGTGAATAAAAATAAAGATTTACTTTACTACAGTGGGTTATGCCAGTTTTCACCTTAGTTTTCCACCGTTTTCTCATGGACTGCCAATTCCTTCCTTGGTTGGTAATTAGCCTGGCAGGCAATGCGAATGTGATCAATAAGAGGCTTGATTCTGAACATCTTATCATAGTCAGGTGTTCCCTTCTTATTGTCATTTTTGACATCCTCCTCTGGATCACTGAGGTGGAGGTTCCATAATAGCGCCCTGAATCTGTCTCTTGTCATGACAGCGGCTGGAAATGGCACAGACAAGATTCTGTTGCGTTTCCAGTAGTCTTGAAGATTTGGCAGCGACACCAACGCTGTGTAAATGAGGAGTCCAAGGAATTTGTAGAGTTCCTCAACTTCAACGTCAGTCCATTTGTACTTCATGCCCATTTCCTGTTTTTTTGCAGCTTGCTTGTTGGTGCTTTTGCAGAGTGTCTTCATTGTATCCGTGGAGAAATACAACTGGAAAAGGTCCATTGGTGGGTGTGTTGAATGTGTGTTCAGCTGGGCTCCTGGTGTTCTGCGGGGCATGAACCTCCAGGTTTGTGGGGCATTATCAGGATCGTTTTCAGTTTTCCAGGGCTCAGAGCTGTGGGGTGGCTGTTCTGACTGGGCTTGTGGAGATCTTGAGCTGGTTTCATTCCCTGTTTGTGAACTGGCTGTTGGGGTTGTAGATTCTCCGGGCTGCTCATCATCACTGTGTGTGACAATAAGAGTAAAAAGATTCAAGATCTTTATTATCATATGCACAACAATTACAGTAAAACAGTGGATGACACTGACGTTACTCAGGCTCCCTTCAACAATGCTAATACTAAGTGTACAAAAGAAAGTCATACAAATAAAATGAGAAAAGCAAACATCAGAATATATGAATAAAATAAAATACAGTATAATACTGAGGTAGACAAGTGCCGAGTAGTGACAAAATGATCGGGCTATTTTACAGAATGTGCAGTGATGTAGTAATGTGCTGATGGGGGAACCAGAATAGAAATATGTAACTTAACATTATGGGCCTACTTTATACTAGAACTGCAATGATTAATCGATAACTTCTCAACTATTAAATTTATTGGCAACTATTTTGATAATAGTTTGAGTATTTTTTTAAAGAAATCTCTCTTCGGAAATGTGATTATTTTCTGGTTTCTTTACTCTTTTATGACAGTTTACTGAATATCTTTGGTTTTGTGGACAAAATAAGACATTTAAGGACATTACCTTGGGCTATGATGTTGAAGCAACATCATACCATTATGGAATCCTGTCATGCCATTTTTTGGTGTTGTGCATTTAGGTTTATATACTGATCAAAAGCACAACAGTAAACATAATTTTCTCTCATTCTCCATTAATTGATTAATTAATTATACATTTGATAATGTTAGTTATAATAACACTGTAATACAAATTTTATTACACTGGATATTTTAATCTTACACTTTGTTATCCTCCCTGCAGAGCACATGCTTATGTAGGATTAAACACATTGTTCTTCCATTAAGAGGATAAACACAAAGGTCTTCTACGGTTCATCAAAGAAAAGTGCACTCCAGTTGATAGTACTGAGGATGAATAAGGATTTAGTAGTGAGGAAACAGTGAGTTGCTGGAAATCCTGCAAGAAAAGTAAGAGTGATTGTGAGAGTGATTGTGAGCAAGAGTCTAAGAACGCAGATGAGGAAAAAAGTGAAGACGAGCAGTGAGGATAAAAGTGCAGTGACAGGTATGAGTATAAGAAAGTGAGGAAAACTATTTAATATCTTGTTTTTTACTTATTGATATTGTGATGCATTTTGTTGACTTTCTATGCTTTGTCAGCTTCCATAAATACTGAGCCAAAGACGGCGGCTGCAAGGTAACATATATCTGAAATGGCACCAGAAAACTGAAGACACATTTTAAATCTAACACAAATGATGAATTGATGGAAAGTAACTGTCTTGATTTTCAGCATGTTTTTAAAGTTTGGAAGATTTTTTTATGTAAACTTTGTTGAAATATGTGTACTCTCTTTTACGCATTCATTTCTAAAGGCGCTTCCACAATGGTACAATGTTGCCTGAGGGTAACGTTCAAACAAACCTATGTAAAGAGTCTATTTTTTATATTTTCAAATTTAAAATGATTGTATTTTAAAATGATAAATTCATTGAAAATTTTCATTGAGTATTTTAATAAATATTATTCAAACTTTAAATAATAACTCTCTTTTTCCATTCTTTACCATTATGGTACTATGCTATGCTATACTATGCTTTAAGGCAATGTACCCCAAAGTTTACCCCCAAAATATATTTTTTTGAAATTTCTTTAAATTATGTTGATTTGGTCCATTTAATGACAAAAAACACAACAATATTTTTTTTTAACCACTGGCAAAATAATTAAGTTCAATGTGGGACCACACAGCAGGGCAACACTCCATATGATCCCACAACAAGGTGCCTCACTAAAGTGCGGGTCAATGTACTTGGAAGCCAATTTGTAAACAGTAACTATCTGTGTACACACACACACACACACACAGTGCAACAGAGTCAGTTAGTGATCACATACTAAATGTGTCTTGAACCATCGTTTAGTTTGAGTCTTAAATGTGAGGTAAGTAAAGTAAAGCCGGAATGTTGTTCCAGATCTCAGTACCCTTAACTGACAATACAGTTTGTCCAAATGTTGTGCGTCTGTAAAGCACGACACAGTCTCCTCTATTGGAGGCCCTGGCTGCAGTTCTGCAACCACTAGTTGATTTGAATTTAATGTATTCACTTAATGGGGGTCGATCAAGTCCATGTAAGATCTTATATAGAGAGCAGGCAAATTAATTAAACTTTAATTAATTAAACTTAGTAAGATGTTCAAAACTTAGGAGGTTAATATGTTTCTGTAGGATAAGGCAGTGATGAAAAGAAAATGTTTTATATCGAAGATTAAGTGTTGTTGCATTTGTAAGTGAAACATATGTAAAAAAGTATTCAATATGAGAAAAAAAATCATTGAATGATGAAACATTTTGGCAGCATGTCAGTGGTCACTCAGTGCAGATGTAATAGATCAGTCTTTGTGTGAGTTTGTGTGATTACTGCGTCATCCACATACATTAAGATATTGATGTTTTAGCATACATTTTCCAGATAATTAATGTATAAAGAGAACAGAAAAAAGATTTCATATAGTGTGTTCTATGTGTTATGTATGAGTTCACCCAACTCACTCGAAAGCTTGTTCAGAGAAGTTGAAGTTTGGTATTTTGGACAGGAATATTTGATGGTCGACGGTATCAAGTGCTATTTTCAGATCCAGAAAAATAGCACCAACAACAGCATGACTATCTAATGAATGTTTGACCTTTTCCATAAAAACATTGATAGCTGTTTCAGTTGAATGGTAGGCACGAAAGCCAAATTGTATGGGATGCAGAGGGGTACAGCATTTATTCAGATGATCCATTGGTTGTTTTGCTTGCATTTTTTAAATAATTTTAGATATAACTGGAATAATACTGATTGGTCTGTAGTTATTAATATCTGCTTTGCTCCCATTTAAAAGTTGTTGTAACCGTGGCCACCTTCCATGTTGATGGAACAACGAACTGTAATTCATGGGTTAATCATATGTGTAATTGGGCATAGTAGGGACTCTACATGTACAGTTTAATGAAGTTAATGTCAAATCCAAACTCATCCTTAGCTTTGGAAGGATTTCATTCATTTATAATAGAGGCCATATCCTATTCTGTAATTTCTTCAACATAAAAAATATGGCAATAAAGTTCAGAGTAAACCAAATTATAATGCAATAAACTATTTTGGAAGAAAAAACTAAAAGCATCAGCAAACTGGTAAAGCATGCACCCAATGTACAAGCCTGAGTCCTTACTGCATCTTTTTTTTATTAAAGAAAAAACTAAAGTATAATAGACAATTATCTGTCCCTTAAAAAGAGACTGAATATAACAGAGACAGATCCAGACCAAGGACAGTGACCACAAACTGGCAAATTGAGAAGAAACACACACACACAAAAAAATTCTGGCAACCTTAAAATAAAACAGAATATGTGGTCACTGTTTGACTGAGGTTAAGACAGAGATGCACCTCCTCCTTCACATATGACAAAAAGGATCAAGTGCATATTAAAAGACAGAAAAAAAGTACAAGTCAAACTAGAAAGAGATAAGAGGAAATTTAATAAATTTATAAATTAAAGAAAAAAAGGTGGGGGAGGCTAGAGCTTTTTATGCAAACCATATTCTGCTATTATACTAGAAGGTTCCATTGAATTTTTCGTTATCATGACATTAAGGGCTTTCATAAAAAGAAACTCATTATGAAATACACAAAACTTAGGTTTCACTTTCAAAAACAAATTTTCCCAAGAATGGCATGATATTAATCAGAAAGTCATCTTTGCTGTTCCCTTGACACAACCATAGATGATGTCCTTCAGAGAAAAGCTCTCGAGATGAAAAACCTTTGGGTAAAGCCAGTCATGCATATCAAGCCATAAGGCTTCAGAATACATATGTTGGAAAAATAAATTATCAGTAGTTTAGATTTCAAATAGCTTTTTTAACCTACCTCTCAAAGTTTTGCTGCCCAAAATGTATCAGCATGGCGCACCTGAGGAACAGTGAATGACACACACAGCTTATCTGTACATATTTCTGACAGCACAATCAGTGTTTATGTGCGTTTTTGCGGTTCGACACTTGCTTTGGTCCGTTCCCCATGTCAACAAAGCACAATTTAATTGAATTACAAAATGTCCTATAGCTTTGAAGGCAACATGAGCCTGTTCTACGTCACAGCTGGTCCGCCCCACTAATAACATTGTGCGCGCTCCTGCAGAAAGACTTCGACCGAGTAACAGCGCGTCCCCGCAGCTGCACGGCGCTATTATAGATAGTTTAGTAATCAGAAATCCCCCTGGGAATAAATCCGCGTTATTACGTACGTATGGACGTAAAGCATTTGGAAAAGATGGATCCGACCTTGGAGTACAAGTTTCCCGACTTGTTGGAAGCATAAAAGCGGGTTCCGGTGGTGATACTTTTTTCTGTCAGGAAGTTTGACGTATTCGGCTGAAGATTATTTCTTACTTTGTTTTGGTTGGGGGAAAGTTTTGGACTGCCTTTGGCCACAGAAACTGTACGACAACTCCGTGACTCTGTCGTTGAGAAAGACTGCATTTTTTCACACTAAAGTCCGTTTTGGATCTCGCATGAATAGGCTACTTCAGGAACCATAATTTAAGGGTCCGAAGCTCTGCGAAGTGTAAACATCGATGGAGTGTATCCAACTTGGTCTCGTTTGGCATGACAAATGGATTTTAGGTGTATAATAAACGTATGCAGGTGTTATCTGTTCCTGCCGGTGTCATTTCAGTCAGTGTGAACACCACTGAATCAAATTCCCCAAGCTTATAGGCCAGAGATATGCCTTTATGTGTTCCTATATGGTTATGCTTAGATCCATATTCAAGTTGCAATACGATACCCTTACATGCAATACAATAATATAATTAAAGGTATCTCCACTAGACTATATCTAGACTATTTTGGACTCCAACCTGACAACACAGGGAAGGTAAATCTGCAAACTTAGCAGGAAGAGAGCTCAAAATCACGGAAATCGTAAGTTTTTTTTTCCCTCAGGCGAGCTGATTCTTACAAATGGATTTCATACAGGCCATACGGTTATTGTTACATCTTGTTCGGTAGTCTTTTGTCAGTATTACCCTGAAAGTGTTGAAATAGAGCGTAACCTCCTGAAAATGTGTTGGAAATTTAAGTTTTCCAAAGATCCGAGGCTTCAGCGCAGCAGAAGTTTGTGTTTGGGCCACAGGTGGAGCAGTCTGGTGTAGGCTTTTCCATCGGAACATTTTCTCTGTCTGATGTGACCTGTTTTTGTTTTCACAACCTGGAAAGTATCCCTTTGTGTGTGCGCTTTTAATTTTTCCGTTGAAGAACACGATCCCCTGTTACCTGGGGGGGTCAGCCCCGCCATGGCGCACCCGCACTCTTGCACACACTCCCCGGTGTGTCGGTGTGACTGAGGGCACCGATGGACGTGAGCAACGGCGGGACCTACTGCGTCATCTCTGCGGCGAGGAACCGGTGACCGGAGTCAGCTGCACGCGGGAGAAGCCCGGCCTCGTCCTGACCAAGGTCGTCAAGGCGACAGGTGAGTGCACGTGACAGAGGTGACAGGTATGAGTGAATTACGATGCATTCAAGTCATGTGGGAATAAAAAAAAAGGGCTCTGCTTGAATAACCCACGTAGCCTACTAAAAACAAAGTATGCAAAATGTTTTTTTTCTTATTTAAAAAAAAGATTCAGGCGTGAAAATACTGAATAATTTTTGTTAGCCTCAAAATGCTCACATTTAAATAGAATAAAAATGTAAAACATTAAGTGTAGACGCTGTAATCTTCTGTTAAACCTCCAAATTCCCATACCAAATATGGGGGACATGAGTTCAGTGTCCTCTGTGCTACAGCCCTGTCTTCTATTTGCCTTTCTTAAGAGAAAGTCATAAGAATGGCGAATAGAAGATGCATTTCATCTCGACAGTCAGGTAGTTCTACCCTGTGTGAACACATTCCCTGAGTTTATTTACCTTTGTATACACAAGATCAGTTGCCTGAGCATGCATTCCCTTTTTAAGCATCAGCCTGTTTACAGTTGCACAGAAAGTGAGACGATTTAACAAAACAATCACAAACAGAACAGAAAAATAAACAAACAGAATACAGAATTGGTTAAAACAGCCAAAAGCTTGAATGAGTATTTAATAAAGAATGGCTTTAAAGTGACCAATTTAGGAGATATTTTGAATTTTAGGTAACATTGCAGAATAGTAAATGAGGCTGATACATCTGTTCTACCAGCTGACTGTAATTGAAAATATCAGCCAGTTTGACAGCTGTGTTTACAAGCAGGACTGAAATCAACAAACCTTCAACAGCACCAAGAAATTATATTAATAACTTAGTTTATGTTGTTTAGTGTTAGTCCAAGCACTAAATGAGCTAACATATCTGCACAGGTTCAGAAGGCCCTCCTTCTCTTTTATCTTTAATCACATTTCTTTGACCTTTGCATGTTGTAATCTCAACATGCAGAATATGCAGCATTTTCAAAACTCAGGTTGTGTGTGACTGTACATGTATTGAGATTATACATGAGATTATTTTTTTGAAATTTCAATTTGAATATATCTGTAGGTTTGTAATACAATATTACAAAGGGCATTTGAAGCCTAAGCCAAGGCAAGTACAAGAGTCTTGTCGAGATTGCAATATTTAAATGTAATGGGTTGCCCTGAACCCAAAACACATGTGCACCTGAAACAGGAGAGACATCAGGCCAAGGGGATTTTGCTGTGAAACACTGAGTTCAGATGCATCACTGGCCAGAGACAGAGTAGAAACTGTGGCTGGGAAAAACAGCCTCAGACTAAACACCTCTCAAAGCAGACAGAGAAGAGAGGGGGGAGGAAAATCCATGTAAATCCTGCTAGTCCTGGAAATGTGATACAAGGAAAATAAAGCAGGCACAGCTGACTGGACTGGTAGAGCTCAGCCTCCTTCTACACTGGATTCCCTGCATTCCACTTGGGAGGTAATTAAAATCATGAAAAGCTGAGGAGAGAAGAGGGTAACTGGGGAAATGGACAGAGAGGGTAGTTGTTGACTACAAGAACCTCTTGTGTTGCACAATTTCATTCCAGATCCAGCAGCTTTAAGGTGAACATTTTGTGGTTACAGAGGAGATAATGTGGTAATGAGTATCCTGAAGTGACTGTACATTCATGCAACAAGGGGAATTGCACACCTCATAAACTCCATGTTATTTATTTAGTAGGGGATAAAATGTGCGTGAAGTTTGAAGGGTAGAAGGACAAAAGTCCTTGGCACCTACTCATATGGCAGGGAACACGAGAGTGGCGGAAGCTTGAAAGCAACGTGGCAACGCTCCGCCGACCACAGACGGACATGCCTGGCATTCCTGTGGGTGATTATTACCCAGAAATCTACAGAGTCAATGAGTTGCCTCAGGTGCCGTTGCTACCCATTTCATACACAGAAATTGTTTCTCACCATCCTTCTGCAGCGTTCGGACTGTGCAAAGCTACCCTCAGAAAAACAGTTGCTACCTCTTCTGTAGGCTCCATCCTTAGACAACGTTCATGCCGGTCTTGTCAGAGTTATTGAAAATGACTAGTCATTAGTTCTCTAGGCTTATCAGGCACATGGGTTGATTTGCTACAGTGTATTTCTGGGCAAGTTGAAGCATATGTCAAGGTGAAGCCCTAATTGTGTTTTCAGTGGTTCATAGCCCTCTCTTTTCCACAACCCTTTAGACCATTCATGGGAAATTACAGCAATTTGCCAGAGAGGAAAATCTTATTTGTAGTGACACAATATGGCTTACCATTGTAACCTAGACAGATATATTTGTAAATATAAATTGACTCACAGTCAGACCAAACACTTAGTTATTATGTTTTCATACTTAAAATATAAGACGTAACCTAACAGTGATGGTTATGGTAAAGATCAGGTATGCACCAATCCAGTTTAGTATCTGTCTGATACTGATCTTTTTAAGTGGATCAAGTATCTGTCAGACATGACAGATACACTTTATCTAGGCTATAGTTTCTTTATTGATGTCACTTACATTCATTCACTCACTCACTCACAATGGGCTGCCAAATCAGCTTTTAGCACCACAGCAGTCTCTGGCTTCAAATTACTGTGCATGAAAATGATCCCCAGGGGTTTCACACAGGAGAAAAGAAAAGTCAGATCAGTTCATCCCTGGTATTTTATTCATGTCTCTGATTTGATGGGTCAGAGATAGTCGTTTGGTCTTACGTGTTTTATAATTTTGTTAAAAGTGGTAAGTCCGTCTACTTTATATAATTGTGAAAACTAAGTTTGTGTAAAGAACACAGAAGTACTTTTGTATTGTCCTTTGTTGAATTAGTTTAAATTATGTGGTTTATTGGTACAAATTTGGGGGAAACAGTCTGCATTGAAGGAAATGCCTCAGTTTATAATGCTGTTGACGCCTTGAACAGGATAATATTGTCCTGTTACAATGGAGTTTTAACACAGCTGAGTTTGGATTTTTTAGCAATCAGAGAAGTTTGAAGCTGGTAGATATTAAAATGGCAGAAAACTCCCCATACAAAACATTCTTCCCATATGAACTGTGCCAGACTGATCGCTGCCAGTGCAGCTTGGATTTCAGCCGTTTCCAATTGTCATTCTTTCTCATGGGCAAAACACACAACACACATTTTCGCATGCACTGCACACTTTCTCATTCACTCAGGCCTTCAGTCAGAGAAATCTTTAGGTCTGTGTTCAGCAGGCTCAGGTTACTTCTTTTTTTTTTTTTACATGCCTGCAAGGAACTATGCAGAAGCGTTCAAGTTGTAAATGATTAGGTTCTTTGTTTAGTGTCACATTAACACACGCATGCCATGTGATTTAATTACATAGATAGACCATATAATAAGGGGGCAGTAAAGCCACTTTGTCATGCCAGCGTTTTCAAATTTTATACTGCGATTCCCTTTTTCTGATGACCTACTCATCTTCGTAATGTTTACCACCAAGGTGATGTTTTATGGGCTGAGGTACTTGCATACTAACAAGTTTTGTAAGACTGGCTGATAACCTTTGTCATATGTCATCTCCTGTCTGAATCAGTGACCCATCTGCTCTGTCTCCGTGCAAAAGAATATTAACAAAAACAGTGCCAGCCTCAGTTATTGCACACCTTCTCTAATAACTAATAGATTTCTCATAATAATATAATACAAAAAATGAATTGATTTTTTTTTTTATCACTACAGGCTGTGGGTGGGTTGGCACAGCCGAGAAGTGTCTGAAGACTGGCTTGTAGATCACGTACGCAAACATCACCACAATGAGTAAGTCCTCTGAATTCTGATGTTGGACAGACATTTAGAGCATGGTTTCTTCACAGCATGAGATAAAAGCAGACACACACACACTCACACCAAACAACATCCCTGAAGCCGAAGCCTGTGCGAGCTGCTGCTCCAGACACTGTCGGGTGAAGGATTGGTGTTTGGTGTTGTGGAGATGGGGGTCTGGTTCTCTCCACTGCCCCGGGGCTGTATGATGTCTGTCCAAGCTACACAGGGAGAATATTTTCTCTTCGTGAGCTAGTGCAGCCAAGGCAGAGCTTGCCCTGAGATCAAACATGGGAATAGGCATATCAAAAACACTGCAGTCCTTTCCTCCCTGTCATAGGATAGTCTCCATATGGCTGTAGTTAAAGATGACTGACTAATTGTATGCACACACCTTTTAGTGCAGATCTAAGTGCAAGGGGGCTCATATCGCTCTTTTTCTGTCATGCATGCACACACAGGCCATCCATTTTCCAATCCACACTAATTGTGTGTTTTTTCCCAACACATTATCCTCTTCAGATGAGAGGCAGGCTCTCCACTCTATAATGAAAGACCTGGTTGCCCTCCAGATGACGCGGCGCCAGCCTGTGTTGTCGTATGACAGCGGCAAACCCAAGACACCGGCCCAGGCGAACAGACAGGTGCTGTATAGCTGCATGGCCACGGACTGAATATTTGAGAAGACTATAAGCCTACACACGGTTTGGAAGCTCGAGCTTGTGTAAAGTTCTCCTCCTAAACCAGGATTTAAATGGAAATGGTGTTGAGTGACAGGGAAATACCTTTGTTATTATCAAAGCTTCACATAAGTCGGAAGACTCAGTTTCAATCAAATAGCCTTAGATTGCGCTGTGAGTGGTTGCTCAAACATCTTTAGTCCCATGCATAAACAAACATTTAATGAAAATTTTGTTAAAATTTGTAGTGTGTTCAGTAGTGTAGTTTTAAAGATGCAATAAAGAACTGTGTAACTGAGTATTACCCATGCAGTTATATCCTTGTTTCTGACATTATTTCCCCTAGCCCACACAGCAAGCTAATTTAGCATAATGACGGATGAATTGTAAAGATAGCCAACCACAACTATGCTACTGCTGCTTCTAAAATGTATTAAATGTTATTTTCAACTTCTTTTCTAAAAATATATTCTGCTCGTTTAGAGAAATAGCCAGTAGCCCACCCACCCTCGCTTTTGACCACAGCTGCAGCCACAGAGAATAGTCCGAGTAGACATCTCATGTGCAGTGTAGTGTTTGCTTTAAACCAGAGATTGTCCCCCTGGGAAAGACAGTCTCCACCATTTTCCCACCTCAGTAACTTACTTGGGTTTTCACAAAATGCATGACATGTCTTCTCAGCGAACAATCTTTTGTGTAAGACCAACAGCTGAAGACAAGTCAGTCACAGTTATTATCATCATTAAATTTTGTGTTCATATCAACACAGCCTATATTATTAAACTCTAATGACCTCTTTTGTCCACTCTTTGACCTTCCTGTTTCTGTTGTCTCTCAGGACGATGTCAGGATAAAGTTTGAGTTCTCAGGAGAGAGGAGGTGAGTTTGGTTTGTGTCTTTTTTATATGCATGTTGTGTGTGTGTGTGTGTGTTTTGATATACATGCATATATGTATCTATCTACACACCAGAGAGAGAGAGAGCATAAACTCACACAGAGACATAAACACACTCACTCAGACATGCTGTTCTTGTCACATGTTCCAGCTTATGAGAAAGAGCTCATCTCAGAGTCAAACACAAACTCCAGCACTTAATTCAGACTGGTATGCGAGCTGGAGAATGGAAGAGGAAGGGACTGTGGTTATACTGTGGCTGCCAGCACAAACCACAAATATGCAAGGTGTACTTAGAGGACTCAGCACACACTAAAAAACAGGAGCTTGTGTGGATTTTTCTTGAATGTGTGCTTGTAACTCAAAAGCAGTTTTCCGTCGCTGCCAGTACAAATCTCTCATCCCATGTCTGTCTGTTTGATTTCTTGCCTTTTATGTGTAGGATCCTGATGTTTGGACGGCCTGTGCAGTTTGAGGACGTTCAGCAAAAAGTCAAGGCTGTCTTTGGCCAGCAGCTGGACCTGAATTATATGAACAACGAGGTAAAGTAGAGACTCTTGTGCTGTATCTCCACCCATTCTGTCCTTAGCTTGAGAAGCTGTAACCAAGGAATGTTAGATATTTTTGCTTGAAAAAAATGAATTAAATGTTAAATCAAAATAGGTGCCAATTCATATATGCATGTATAGGTGTCTTTCTTTCCTTAATTTATTGATTAAATATATGTGTTTCCAAAAGCCTTTGTATGCTTGTGGATCGTATTTGTTTGTTTATATATATATTGTTGATTTTGTTTGTGTGTGCGGGTTTGTCTTGTATCCTGGCAGTTGTCCATCCCTCTGCGTGGACAGGATGATCTGGACAAGGCAATCGACCTGCTTGACCGAAGCTCCAACATGAAGAGCATCAGGATCCTGCTGCTCGCTCAGGAGCACAGTAATGTGAGACACACACATGCGCACACACACTGGGTGTACATTTACAGCATACCATTGCACAACTGCCATTACTTCAGCATAGAGCCATGTTGTGAAAAATCCATTTTCCTCATTACATTTACATCACACTAACTGGCATGCTGACATTAAGCAATTGTTCAGTCATGTATTGAAGCCCTACCTAAACCTCCTATTCTCCTCACCTCTTTCCTACAGGCGTCCTCTCCCTCCCACCATGTGCCATGTAAGCAGGTGAGGATCAAGTCCTCTCAGTCCACTGGAGACGTTAGCACGGGGTACCAACCCTCCGAGCCCAGGGGGCGCCACCTATCAACTGGTACATGTCCTCAACTGTCATTCAGAGTTCTCTCTAAATTCATCTGCAACAGGATGGTTCACACACTGATTCAAAGAGAGAAATGTAGACTCGTAGTTGAGGCTTCTGAGAAAAACATTTTGTCTTTTTTCAGTTATGTGTAGCGACTGTCGAGCCGTTGCCAATTCCCTTTTTACTACCTAGATATCCCTGTCCACTTCTCTCTCTGGCTGTTCTTTTCGTTGGCTTCCCCTTTTAGCAATGGGTCCTCTTCCTTTTCCTGTTCACCATCACTAGACAAGGCCTTCTGGACAGCAGCCAATCAGATTACAAAATGCTATTAGTGTAGTGGACCAGTGGCCTAGTTTGGGATTTTTCCCCCTGGAGCAGGGGATGAAGTGGCTGCAGGAGGGATTGGAGTTGCTCCTTTCATTCAGAATAGAAGCAATCTGCACTTTGATTTCTTGTTTTCTTTATCTTCATGACATAGTAGGGAGAGAGCGCCTGAAAATTTTAATTTTGTTTTTACTGTCATGACAACAGCATGGATTTGTGTTTGTGTTGTATGAGTGTGCTCTCAACTTCTGCAAGTTTGCTTTTGTGCTGCCTGTACTGTAAAAAAATACATCTAAACACAGATTAGTTAAAAACATTATGCAAAGCAGTTTTTCCAACAATAATTAATGTAATTAACTGATTTCCTCAAAGCACATTGTTGCTGACATTTTCATGCTTTTTTCAGTAAGTAAGTCCAGATATAATTTAAAATTCTAATAAATTTTTTTATGGTAACTGATAGACATAAGACATAACTGACATAACTGATGTCTTATCCCAGGTTCTCAGAACACGCCGGGGCGTAGCTCGCCGCCTCCTGGCTATGTGCCTGAACACCAGCAGAGGATCGCCCGCCAAGGTTCATACACCAGCATAAACAGTGAGGGGGAGTTCATCCCAGAAACCAGTGATCAGTGTGTGAGTCATCACTTCACTATTAATGGGAAAAATCCACCTTAAAATTGAAATCACATAAACAATATTTCTTCAAAGCTTGAATCAAGACCTTTTTGTGATTTCTGAAGTTGTTTTGCTCATTAATCAAAGTTTTATTGACACTGTGAAAGTAATTTAGCTGATTTTCAGGAATTTTGGGCACAAGTGTTACTAACAAGTTAAATTAATTTGGGAGTAAAAGGTCAAACAAAGTATTCAGTGAGTCCCTTGAGTTCATCCATACATCCAGCGTAGACACTCTAGAAAAAAGGAAATAGTTGTTTTGTGCTCCCAAAGTTTTCAAAAATTACTTCTGTTTTATGGTGGATTTTTCATTCTGAAACTTGTATACATGAAGCACATGTGCACACACACCCTTCAGTTTCCATTGTGCCATGTACAGGTGCTAGATCCCTGGAGCAGTGCAGAAAACTCTGTCTCTGGAAGCTGTCAGTCTCTGGACAGCAACTCAGAAAGGTGAGCAGCAATCTGCCTACTTTTTTCAAGTGGATTGACAGTTAAAACTACCTGCCAGAAACTCACTACACATTTTATTATTTTTCCATTGCGTTTCCATAATTGGTGTTTTCAAAATTGGAATAACGTTTTCTATGCAGACACCCAAATACATCTCTCACGTCCTTCCTTGTCCTCTCTCACAGCCCCTCACTGAGGAAGTCTCGCATGCACAGAGCAAAGAGTTACCCAGATAATCGTCAGGAGTGCTCAGGTGAGAACAGCTCCAAGAAAAGCTCCTTCCAAGAGCACCGTCCTTGAACTTTCCCTGTAACCATGGGGAAATATTGTATTAGAGCAACACACTCTTATGGGAGAAAGCATTGCGTCTCCTCTAAACGTCTTTCAAACCGTCAGACACCATGGTGGAAGATTTCCATAGACTTTGGATGGAAGTCAAGATTAATTAAAGTTCATGTTTACAGTAAACTTAACACTGCAGTATCAACCATAAATATATAAATACAAGTTTGCCCCAGGTCTTTTAAAAGCTTAGGGTACAACGTTACGGATTTGATCAAGAAATCTACTCTTGATAGACAGTGTTTGCTTTTCATTGACCTCAGAATTCATACACAGTACAGTTCTGTGAACCAGCTGAAAGGGAACATTAACAGTAATTTCAAGCTGTGTTGTTCATAAGTACAAGCTACAAGGGAGCGTAATAAAGTAGCTCATGTGAAAGTTGTGTGACGCAGTGTGGAACTGAGCTAAACAGCGGTTGTATTACAGCGTAATCCTGCTGACCTTTGGATATTTGCTTTCAGACAGGGAGAATCATGTGTATGACAGGGTAGCAGGAAAAGGAGGCACCTATCCTCGTAGGTACCATGTCTCTCTGCATCACAAAGACCACAGTGAAGGTAAGACAATTATCTCCATTTATCAGCTGTGCATCTGGTGTCTTATGCTTTCTCAGTGTACTATTTCCTCAGTTAATCTCTCCTGTACACTATGTGATATTTAACCTCAGCAAGCCTCTTTCCGGCTCTCCTTTAGGCCGTCGAACATTTCCACGGATCCGTCGCCCCCAGGGGAACCTGTTTACTCTGGTGCCCTCACGCCGGTCGCTCAACGGCAGTGAAGATAGTCTCGGTAGCTGGCAGCTGGTCGACGCTCAGGGCAGGCTCCGTCCCCAAGATCGTTCTGTTGCACATAAGTGTGAGTGTTGATCTAGAAAAACAAAATGTCCTTTAGAAAACAAACTTCACTTGACATAGTTTGACATACATAGATTGTACATTGCAGGGCTAATGCCAATGCTTTTTTTTTTTTATTGAAGCTGCTGAAAGTCAGAGTAGTAAAATAAAAAAAGTAAAAGTGGATTCCTATATAAACTATGCCATTTGAATGGCTGTGCCCCGTTAAAATGGACATCAATTCAGGTTAAATTAACATTTGGAAAATACAGTTGTTTTATCCCAAATCAGATAATAAGATAGATTTCTTTACTCATTTTAATTTTACTTTGTGCATCCAATACAGAGGTACAGGTCTATGTGTTTTTGTTTATTTTTTCAGCGCCCAGCGCCCCGGTGACATGGCGGCGGGGGAAGCTTCTGGGTCAGGGAGCATTTGGTCGGGTTTACCTGTGTTATGATGTGGATACTGGGAGAGAGCTGGCTGCCAAGCAAGTCCAGTTTGATCCTGAGAGTCCTGAGAATAGCAAGGTGAGACACTAAGAAGGACGGTTCAGCTTTTCCTGTTTTCACAGAGACAGAATGCTTGGTTGTCTTCTGTCTTCCTCTTTCCTCTTTCTGGCACTGTTGAAAATATTTCCACTATTGCTTATGGCATGCTACCTCTTGTTACTGCTTAAATTGTAAAAAATATTGTTTGCTTTTGCTGCATGACATGTACATTGCATGTACTAATTCTGGTTGTACATTGATGTTGTTAGGAAATGGCATAATTTCCTCTTTCCTTTTACGATATATCTCTTGAACGAAAACATTACAATCTTTTGTAAATAACAAAACAACATTTTTTGGGGAACTTTATTGAAACCTTTCAATGATTTTTCATTATGACACTTCCTGATATAGGACTTCATAAATTAAGTAACAAGTAGTCAAAAAGATAAAAACTATATAATTATGTTGATAGTCAGCATAACGGACTGAGCATTTAATAAATTAACCAATCAACTGTCTTAAAACATTTCTGCTTACATTTAACTTTTCACAATCAATAATCAGTCTGAAGGAAAGTAATTCATTGATTCAAGATGTTGAATGTATTGACGAGGCTTCCTTTCCTCCCTCAACCCCCCACCCCCCCTTCCCATTTTTAATGTCTTTTCCTGTCTTCCACTGAGAAAACATGCACTGTCACTTCCTGTATCTGAAAGGAGCCGAGTGTGGTGGTGAGGGGTGATGGGTCAGCATTGCCTTGGCCTTCCATAACCCTTTACAACCCCCCCCGCACACTTGTAGCACATGTGAATCAGTTGTTGTTTCTATTAAACCGGCTTCTGTGTTGGGACTTTGTTGGGAAATACTTTGTGCGTCTCTGACTTCCCTCTCTCTCTCTCTCTCTCTCTCTCTCTCTCTCTCACTCTCTCTTTTGTGGCATCATTCTCTGAGGTAAACACAGGAACTTATTCTGAGGAACTGCTATTGGCTTTCATTTAACCTCTGCTTTAGGTTTCACTTTTGGCAGACTCCACATGCAGTAATAAATCACTGTTTGTCATCCCTGTGTTTATAGTTACATTTGTTTGTCATCATTGGTAACACATATCACTGATCCTGCGGGTATCCGCCATACCCAAATATGCATTTTGTTTGCATACGAACACCGTAAATCAGCAAAGATGCATTGTTCATCAATGACAGTTTGTTTAATTTCTGAACGGTGGTTTGAATCCGCTGCGTGTAATTTCCTTACTTGTCATTGTTTCTGTACAGGAGGTCAGCGCTTTGGAGTGCGAAATCCAGTTGCTGAAAAATCTGCATCACGAGCGCATTGTTCAGTACTATGGCTGTCTGAGGGACCACAATGAAAAGACCCTCACTATTTTCATGGAGTACATGCCAGGGGTGAGTCCCAGCAACTTCAGTGTCACAGCTTCAACCAGGGCTCAGACCAATGGTTGTTTTCACAAGTAACCCTAACCTAGAAATCACTTCCATAAACTCCATAAAGTTTTAACATAAGAGCATAAAATAAAGACAGGAGTAAACTAAACATCATAAAAGTGTTTGGTGACTTTCCTCTATTCCAACGTGAATACTATCCGTACTTTTCCAGGAACCTTTTCAGAACTCAGGAACTTATTTCAGTTTTGGTTCCTGGGCCATAATTGTGTAACCAACTTCCTGACAAGTCTAAAAACTAACGAAATTAAAAAAAGCACTGACGCCGTGCAGTCGGACAGTTGTCGGCTACTTTATCTGGTCTTGGTGTCCATAAATAACTCGGGAGCGGATCCACACTACCTTGTCTCTGCCTTTCTGGCAATTTTATCTCCCTTTCCACCCCTGCATGTATTCTTTTTAATATCACTTCAGGCGTCACACACATTTGCTACATCACTGCTGTTCTTCAGGTGAAAATGCAAACACAAATGTGATAACGGAAATTGTAATCCCTGATCTAGTTTTTGAGTTTTGAGTTCCTGGGACTCTGGGAGAGCTTTAGCTTGGCTCCTTTACTCCGTATGTTCCTGGCTCAGACGTTGGGTGATGGGGTAGACCAATGGTCCCACACTGGATGTGTTGAGTCTGTGTGTTATATTACTGGTGTCTTTAGGCAAAAGATTGTAAAGCACATACTTTCTTCCCATCAGGGTTCAGTCAAAGACCAGCTAAAGGCCTACGGGGCGCTGACAGAAAATGTGACCCGGAAGTACACAAGACAGATCCTGGAGGGAATGTCCTATCTGCACAGCAACATGATCGTACACAGGGACATCAAAGGTAGTCCTGTTAACCTACAGAAGCTTGAGTATTAGACACTAGATACGTGTTTGGACAGTGTTACAATATATAGATTTTTGTGTTTCACAGCATGTGAAAAGTGATTGGTGAGATAAAATATTTACATGTTTCATGTCAACTCTGGCTCTCAGGTGCCAACATCCTGCGGGATTCAGCGGGCAATGTGAAGCTCGGAGATTTTGGTGCCAGCAAGAGGCTACAGACCATCTGCATGTCTGGCACCGGCATCCGCTCTGTGACCGGCACCCCCTACTGGATGAGCCCGGAGGTGATCAGTGGAGAGGGCTACGGCAGGAAGGCTGATGTCTGGTAAGACCAGGAGATACACAGCAGTGTTGAAGTTTGTTTCTAGTTTATTAAGAAAGTGCTGTCAGGGATAGTTGGCATGCTTGGGCTGAAAAACAGTTAGGTGAGATGGTTTCTAAATTTTAATTACTTCTAGGACATCCAAAAGTTTAATCCAGTTTGAATCGATTTTACAAATGCACAGATTTTCATGTTTTTGTCTTCTTAAGCAAACTCAGAGGTTATTGGATAGTAGAAAGCCTACTAGCAGTTTTTCAATGACCAATGCCGATATTTAGAGAGCAGGGTGCCCGATGGCCAATATATAATGCCAATATCAAAAGTCATGTATGTTTATGATTAGATTAGCTGTCATTTAGGATGATAGAAATGTGTTAACATTTAGAAAAGACAGTGGTAACTGAGGAAATTTAGGGCTCGAAACTAACTTTTTCAGCACCTTCCCAAAAACTTACAAGGGGGAGCGTGAACATCATTCCACAGCAGCCACACTGACATGGCTGCCTGCAGATATGTCCACAGACATTTTTTGTTTATCAGCCTTGCGAGAGCAGGCATCGTCTGATACGATTGTCTCAAAATGCCAGATATCGGCCCAATTAATCAACCGTCCAGTCTATCACTAATGCCTACATCTCAGAAATGTGTTATACATAGTAATACATAGTGACACAGGTTTTAATCACCTAGTAGAAGCTGTAGAGCAGATTTTACAAATTTTTCAGCTGGGACACTAAATAATGGAGATACCGTATATTCAAAAGAACATTTAATGGGATTCCTTTACACATATGCTTATTGATTCTTGATGGGGTTTAGCAATAAACTACTATGATAATCTAGTGCCTGCACACAAGTGCGTTTACCAAGTGCTTTACAGGAAAACTCCCAAGAAATATTGTTTAGTCTGAAATGGGACAAAGGTTACATACATGTACTGAGAGGGTAGACAAACTGACAGGATGAGGCATGTGATTGTGAAAAAAAAGGGAAATAACTTCTCCTAATACTCTTGAAGTAGCACAATCTCTGTGCCCTCAAAGGGAAAACTGTTTAATAAAGTGAGGAGCCTAATGCAAGTAACCCAGTTCATACCACACTCCCACACACAGAGCAGACAACATTCCCTTATGCAATCTGATTGGGTGTTGACCCACCAGGCGAGTGATGTTATTGGCTGAGGGCCAGTCAGACAGGTCGTAACAGAGGCTGGTATGTTCCAGGTTTTCAGCCCAGGCTGGAGGGGGGAGTAGTGCAGCCAGGAGGGCTCCTACCTCCCAAACTAGTGGAGGCCCTATGCAGCCAGCGAGTGTAACGGTTTACACTCAAAACATTCCTTTAAAATATTTGTGTTGAGCAGCTGAGACATAATATGTGGTAGGTTTCAACTAGTTATGTGACTCTGCATTTCTTTCACAGGAGCCTTGGTTGCACGGTGGTGGAGATGCTCACAGAAAAGCCTCCATGGGCTGAATATGAGGCCATGGCAGCCATATTCAAGATCGCCACTCAGCCCACCAACCCACTGCTGCCCTCACACACCTCCGACCAGGCACGGGACTTCATGAGCTGCATTTTTGTGGATGCCAAACACAGGCCCAGTGCTGAGGAGCTGCTCAGACATCCCTTCTCCCAGATTCTGTGCTGAAACCTGCCTGGTTGCTGAACTTCAACCACGGTGTAGCACAGTAGCCTCAACAGTATCTGTAGCTTCCTTGGAACCCGTCCATGGCAGAAATCTGGACATGGAACTGGTCTAGAAGTCCATGTTAAACCCACAGAACCTCTGCTACCGTTCGTGTGCTTCAAGAAGATTTTGCCTCCTCTCACACAAATCCAGAAAACAGACAGCAGCAGTCAATGATGCCTTGAAAACCAATGCCGGGAGGCTCTTACAAGAGTCACCACCAGGGGGAAACAAAACACAGATTAAGTATCTGGTGGGCTGCTGATCCTTCTCAGATACAAACACGCACACACTCCAAATCCAGCATCATTCAAGCCATGCACCAGTCGTGTCTTCATAAAGAATCCTCCCTTGTGTTTACATGCACTCATTGGGCAGTTCTGAGAAATGCCAGGGAGGTGTTTGACATTTAAACATTTAGCTGGGCACGTTTTTAAAGCTACAGCAGGCCTAAAGCTAAAGTTTGCCCAGCGGATGTTGAAATCCACTGGTGCACAACAGTGTTACTTGGACAGGACTGTTCTTCTTTTTTTTCTCAACTTTATTTCCTCTTCTTTATCACTTTGTCTTGTTTTAAACAAAGAAAATGCCATCCTTAAACTGTAACTCTGTTAAAAGCTATTTAAGCTATTTTTGATGCACTTTGCATTTCTGACTACATGTTTGTGTAGAGTGGGTGAAACACAGATAAGGTGACGGAGATATGTGTAGAGTAGCTACACTGGAGTTTTATAGAAGAACATTATTCAGCTGTTGAAAACATCAATATTAAATACACCAAGGTTTGTTTTGGTTTCAGACCTTCAGAACTAAGACATCATTTAACATGGCCCAGTAATCTTACAGGTTGAAATTAAAGTTAAGAGTCAAATACACATATTTCTCCACTAACAGTACCCTCAAATGACCATGATGCACTGCAGCTACTAGCCCCAGTTTGAATTTTACCACGTTTTAACACGTTTAATATTGCAACTATAGACAGATATAACTGAGGAAATGTTTTTTTAAATTTGGTTTACATTGTTTATATTAAGCAAACACAGACTTAATTTTGGGATAACATCTTTGTTTGGATTTGGAGCATTGAGAAAATGGTCAAAAAAATTTGTTGGAATGTTTTAATGAGTAAGGGCATGCAGTCTACAGCTACTTGGATAGAAACTACATAAATTTGTGCTATCCAGCTACAAAACCTTATTTAAAGCTGGCTGCGGGACCGTTACATATGAATGAAAATCTGTCTGTCAGGTAATTTAAAATGTTCTCCACAGAGAAATCATTATCACTAGTCTCTCTACCTGTAAAAGGAACCAGTGGAGTCTGGGCCTGCCTAAATGCGTTCAGGGAAATTAAGACAATCGGTGTATCTGAGTACATTATAGGAATTTGAATTGGATAATCTACTTCATAAATTATGAGGATGGCATGTAACTGCGTAAGAGGAGCTAAGGGTGGATTTTTCCTTTGAGATTTTTCCTTTAAAATAACTCTTCCCAGTCTTGTTCTACCTTTCTCCTAAATGTGATTTATCCTTCTACCAACTGGTGTCCTCTCACAGGTGTTCTCATACGACAAAATGCCAAAGAATAGGCAGATCAAATGTTATGATATGGACATGGTGTCAGTCACATGTGAAAGTGAAGCAAACACTGCTTTTTATGGATGGAAAATACAATTTAGAAGTGATTTCCGTTGCCTGAGCTCTTACTGTTCATGTGTGTCTGGCCCAAACATCACTGACTGAGAAGCGTTAGCTTAAGGATCAATTTTTAATCAGATGCACTTTTATGTAAAATGAATGTTGTGGGGGTTTTTATTCTCTTCACCAAATCGGGTTTTGTTTTGTTGTTTTAACTTCAAATGTGAAAATTGTTTAATTTTTATTTATACCCACATGTCCATTCCAATTAGATTTTATAAGCAAATATATGTGTATAAATATATTTTTTATATTTAGACTGTGTCAAATTTAATGATACTTTGAGGCCTTTGTGCCATTCGAAGCAAATCATTTAAAGCAGCTGGTTTTGCAGACATTACAGAATTGGGGTTTATAAATGAAAAATGGGTGGAAAACGAACTCTGGCTGCCTGGTTCTTGTTCCCGCTCAAAAAAAAAACTTTCCACACATCCTTAGCTATACATTTAGATGACAGTATTACCTAACAGGTTATGGAAACTTTGCATCATTTACCCATACTGCTTTGACACATTGATATGCCTCATGAATGAAACCTTTACTGGGAGTATTTTTTTGTGTGATCTCAGTGTTACTGAAATGTAATTAAAGGGTGTGTGTGTGAGCCAAAGAGGAGCAGGATCGGAGCCAGTGCTGGACTCCAGAATTCGCTTTTCAACACAGATGACGACTTTGTTTATCCCAGGGTTTCAGACAAGAAGTCCAGTATTGATTTTGATGGATTTTAGGCAAAGGATTTACTGCTGCCTTAATGCTAATATGAGACATTTCTATGGGGCTGCTACAGGCCAAAGGCAGCTAAAATATATTCAGTGTTGAAAAGACAATGAGATAAAGAACCCTGTGGTAAGCAAATGAATACAAACTAGTTGTTTAGAGATCTCTATATGTAAATGTATGATTATATATCATGACAGGACTTGCAGTGCAAAGTCTAATGTATCAAATTTATTTTACAGCAAGAAAAGAATACTATGTTTAATGACAGTGTTTATATATATATATAAATAATGTCATGCTCTCGCTCCAAAACAAATAAATTGTTTTTTAAAAGTGTGTCATATTGTGGGTTATACAGACTCAGTGAGTCCCGTAAATGAAAGGGACACAGGAGACTGAGCTCATTGTTGGCAGTAAGAAGCTACTTGATTGATGCACTCGTTTTTCCTCTTCCTCTATTTTTGCTCTTTTTCACATCTCACGAGGAAAAACAGGATGCAGACACAGGAAGGACAGATTTCTACAACCGTGTCTGGCTGTGAGATGGGAAAAACGATTGTATTGAACAAAGGGCCTTTTCTTAGATTGCCGTGGAATAGAGATACATTGCTTTTGAAAGGTTTGGGTTTTATTACTTTTGTGAATTTAATTAATTCTAGTTTGTCCTCTTTTTTTCACTATACAAAGGACATGTTCAAGACTGAAAACACGGTTATCGTGGATAAAACCATTTCAGAATATAAACTGAAAACAAAAAAGTCACTCTTGTAGCGTTGTTGTGTTTATTTTCACAATAAAGAGGAGCTGCACTGATGATGCACCTTCTTTGTTTTCTTATACATGGATGTATATATCCACTCTACCTAGTAACGTAGAGTTCTTGGAAAGCAAATTAGGATTGTTAAAGAAACTAGCCAATTACATTTTTTTCATTTCCTTTATATTGAGCCAGAACAGAGGAAGATGGTAGCTGTTTAACATTCAAGGCCATTGTGAATGTCTGTATCTTCCTCTGCTTCCCTCTTTCTCTTTAACCCTTAGGTATCATATGCCAGAAAGAGCAAGATTTATTTGAATTGTTTCAACCTTTATTTGACTTATTGGGTTTCTTTTGAAATATCTTAGTGTGGTATTAGATTTGCGGTGCAGCTCAATGAATGGCACTGTCTGTCGATTCACCACTTTGGCCCAGACTGAAGTATCTCAAAAACTATTGCATATAAACGATGACCATGGTAAACATAAAACATCTGCATTTAACATGCTGGCAGATGATCAGTCAAACAGATTAGATGACGATCAGTATATGGTATGAACAGTTTACAGTCTGAGTTTGTATCTGAGTGCTGTGCTTGTTATGTGATGTGTTTCTGGGGTTTATTTGGGCCCCCCGCAGTCCTGCTGACAGGCAGACTGGAGCTTCAGGCCTGAACCGGCTCTCCATTGGTCCTCTTTGTGGCTGCACTCTGTTTGGGTCCAGTGGTGCTGAGTCATATAGCCGGCTTTTCTGTCCCAGTTAAGCCCCCCTGATTTACCTCACAGTTCATTCCCATGAGGGTTTGCTGGTTCAGTATCACCCAATTATTTAGCTGTGTTGTCATAGACTGTATAAAAGTGTGTTTTTTTTACCTGACATGTCAGGGTTCAGAAATGCACCTGAGAATAAAAGGAAAAGTTTCCTAAAAGAGTAGAGCTTAGTGTGAGGACTACATACTCCCAGAAAGGGAATAACCTTAGTTTTAGATTTAAGTATAACCAGATTAATTTAAAATGGCTTTCTTAGACAAGATTAGGGATAGGATTTAGTCCTGACACAGGTGAGTCAGTGTCTTGGAATAAAATAGCAGTTAACCCAGGACTAGATGAAGGCTTAAACATAGTCTCTAGCTGACGTGAGGAACCTGCTTAATGATTTTGCTAAAATGATGCAGTTTCTAAAATAATTTGCTCTCCTTCAAAGAACAGACTGGATAATTTCACTACTGCAGATTTGCATTTGCTTCTTAAAGAGAAAAGCCTGCAACACTTTCTCTCGAAATGCTGGTCAGTTAAAGTATTTTTGGCATCAAGTTTTTTTGTGAAGGTGTTCTTTTTTCTGTTTCCATTGTTGGGTCCGTTTTTACTTCTCTGATATTAACAATTACATGCATTTGCAATCCTTTCCAGGCCTACTCCTCATTTAATTTACACCCGTCTATGAGACAGGGCCTTGATGTAGTGATGAAGCTGGGGCTGAGACGGTCGTATTTCTGGTTAGTCAGGATTCAATTTGGAATGTGGCCATGTACAGCCATTCGTGAGGTTGAGGTATGGTAGCAGAGAGGGTCACATCGAGGATTCTGGGTGTAAAATGCCAGAGCACAAAGCAAGCGTTGAGTATTACGCAGTCAGACTTAACTGGCAGCCATGCCTCCTTGGCCTGAGATCAGTCTGAGTTCAGCAGCATTAAGATTCTGCCCCTCGCCCCTTTTCCTTGTAAGTCCTGCACATGAAATGGTCTCCTCATGTCGGACACATGAATCAGCTGTTTGACTTGGCCGTTCAGTGACTCCAGCAGCGGGGGAGGAGGAGAGGGACACCAACTCTTTCTTCTCTCTCTGTGGATGTTTAATCTTCTGGACATATTACCTCAGTGACCAGATCTAAGGCAACGGCCGTGATCGTCTAAAAAATCCAGAGAGCTGAAACAATTCATGTCACCTTAATGATGCAACCATGGTATTAATCTTTAGCAGTGGAGCCTTTTAAGTCAACAAATCCCTGCCAGACTTACAGTGTGCCATCTCGTTTAACCTCTATTAACAGAGACCAATTGGAATTCAAGACACTGTGTTGTTGTTTTTCTTCCTTAATAGCAACAACACTCATAGGCCAGATAGTAGAGTCGCACAAGGCTTTATTCACTGTCTCCCAGTGCCACTGGTTTCCACTCCCTGTGATTTTATGACCCACTAACAAAGGGTCCTTTGTGTACCACTGCTGTTGTTGTTTTTAGTACCTGTAGCAACACCACAGTTAAATGACTATGCCACTGTTTCTACAAGTTTTATCTTCTTAATAAGTATCTACTGTAAGGTAGGAAAAAAATTAAAGAGTTGAAAAATAAAATGAGCTACTGAAAGAAAAATAGTAAAATATATTGAGTTTTCATTTATTTTATCAACTGATTGGTGGCAAAGGAGAAAAAAACATATTTCTAACTTTTTTTCTTCTGAACAAATTGGTGAGTAAAGGAAAAGACTAAAGCTTTATGTTTCTTTTTAAACTAAATGTTGTATTATTTAACTGACTATATTATCCAGTATTTGTTGTAAATAAGATAGTAAATGTGTAGTTAATTAGATCAAACAGATTTTATTTAAGCATATAATTGTTGTGACAGTGTTTTGTGTCAAAGGACTCTAATACTTTCATTGTTCTTGTCTAAAGGGATTGGAGAAGGAGAACAGTCAGTCACAATCTCATCTTCTCCACAAATCTTCAAAAAGAAGTCAGATGACGTAGCCAGCCCTGTGGTTGTCAAGGTAATGGATGAAAATGGTTTTGTAACGCGGCCTCTGTTAGTTCTCCTTGAGTTCAGATTAGGCCTGCACTCCCCAATTTCTCCCTCCCAACATTCCTCCGCTCCTCCTCTCTACCGTCAATTTGTCTAATAACCTGAACAGAGTGAATACCCCAGAGTCCTGCAGTCTCACTGGAGCCTTGGCCACAGTCCAACCCTGCTATTATGAAAAGTGTGCATGTGCTGCAGCATGAGGGTCGACCAAACTGTACAGTATGTGTAATGTTGTTTTAATGTTGCCAAGATAATTTTAAAAAGCGTACACTATGTTATGCAGTGTCAATTCTTTGATCGCTATGAAACTTGTTTTATTTCTAAAATGCATTATGCGCAAACACACTTTATTTGGATAAACTAACTTTTAATAATATGACATACAATATGAAATACATTTGGTGGTATTAATACATTATTAGCATATTATTGTGTTAATTTATAACCACTGGAAAGAACAGCACTTTATTGACATTTAAAGGGCATTTCATAATGCAACAAAATGCACTTTGAAATGCTCACCAGTGTTCTGCTGTAATGTTGTCAAAGTGTCAAGAAAGTGTATTTTGTCCCATCTGTTTCATAATGATAACCTTATTCTAAAGAATTATTATCATAAGCATTTGCTTCTGTCTAACTTTTTGTGACACATTTGTGCTGCCAGCAAAGTGTTCAAATAATCTGTTTTACAAACCGAAAAACTGTTTTGTCCACAAAATGCAGCATGTAATAAGTTTATTTTATACTCTATTTAGAGAAAGTTGGCGACTGACATTATCCATACAAAGAAGGCTGACTTTTGGGTTAAAAAAAGTTGTATAGTTTTAATTATATACAGATTCAGAGTATTGTATTGTTAACCAGTGTATTAAGCAACCACACATTTAATCAACATCATGCAATCAATTTCATAATAAATAAAGATTAAAGCATTAGTTTAAAGAAATATATATATACCTATAATATAATATAAACCTCTTGGTTATTGCTGTAGCAAATGGATGATTTTAGTTCACTCTGAGTGTCTTTAAATATATATAAATCTATAATGACATACATGAACATTTATTATATATCACATGTAAGACACACTAATACTTACTTGTATGATTTAAATCAAAGCCTAATCTACTCCCATGAAAAATGATTCCCATAAGAGTAAGCAGGTGTTTATTGAATAATTGTTCGCAGTTATGTCCTTATGGAGGACAGACAACAGCTCTGAGGTTCTGTCTCTTGTCTCCTCCTCCACAGTGGGACCCAGAGTAATTCCTGCAGGCTTTTCAGCTGGACATTGTTCTATAGCTTACATGTGCAACACATCAATACATTTAATGCGTCACTCTTGTCTAATTTATCTGCTTCATCTGTAAATCTGCTGTTGTTTTCTCTGATTAGACAGTGAAGATTCTTCCCAACAGCAACATCCCTTTTTTTGAATCAAACTCTGTTTCTGTTTTTGTGAGAGTGTATGTGTGGTCAGGTTGAATTGGTGGCCAGACCCTGTCACACACATTCCTTTTCATTCAGCTGGAACAAAAAGAAAGGGAGAAAGACAAAAAGGGGAGAAAGTAAGTAAGAGTGAGAGAGAGAAAGAGAGTGAGTCAGTGGTCGGGGAGAAGGGAGGAGAGAGCCAAGAGACATTTGTAGTTGAGTGGACGAGCACAGACAATCCCTGGCACACAACTTTTTGAGTGTCAAGTAAACCACCCATTCGCTCTCCCTTTTTGTCCCATTCACTCCCTGCCACCCTCCCTTTTCTCTGCCTCACCCTGTGGCCTCTCTACTGTGGACTTGGGGGGTTCGCCTTCCTCTATAAAAGCCCTGTTTGAGCCCTGAGTGAGCTTCATTCCCCATCATGGAGAGTCAGAGATTCCAGTCATCGTACAGGAAGCGTTTTGGGCCCCAGGGCTCTAGCAGCACAGGAGTCAGAATTGGGAGCCACTCTTCCAGCCGCCTCTCCTGGCATGGCACCCCTCGCAACCTCACCCACTCCAGCCCAATGTCCCGGGTCTCTTTGGGCTCAGCCAACACGGCCCTGCTCCTGGGGAGCCCCGTGGACCGACTGGACTTCTCAGCTGACTCCCTGATGAAGGCCCAGTACAAGGAAACGCGCACCAACGAGAAGATGGAGATGATGGGCCTGAATGACCGTTTTGCCAGCTACATAGAGAAGGTGCGCCTGTTGGAGCAACAGAACAAGGTGCTTGTGGCAGAGCTGAACCAGCTCAAAGGGAAGGAGCCCAGCCGCCTGGGAGACATCTACCAGGAGGAGCTGAGAGAGCTGCGGAGGCAGGTGGACGGTCTCACTGCTGGCAAAGCTCGGCAGGAGATTGAAAGGGACAACCTGGCTGCAGATCTGGCCATGCTCAAGCAAAGGTAGGAGGAAGCGATGCGGGACTCCTGTGGGTGGAGGATCATGTTGGTGTTATGCACAGTAGCACCACCCTGTTATGTCTATACTTTGCTCTTATGCTCTTGAAGGATGGCTCTAGTCACAGGCATAACCACTGCTTATTTTCTGGTGCTGAAAATACATTTATGTTAATTTTGCACATGTCAAACTTATTTCTTTCGAAGTTTCTTTTTGGGAAAGAAAATCAGCTCACTAGAAAATAAATGTAGAAGAATTTCTGCACAGTTTTGTGTAATATGAATGGATTCAGTTACAGAAGTGTTCATAAGAGTGCTTAAGTTTAACATTTTAATTAACTAATAAATCAACATACAACAGACGGAGTGAAAGAGTACAACACTACTTCCTGCTCTCTTTTTTTGGTAAATCTGGGGTTTTACCCACTAAATTTCTATTTAGTGTTCTATAAAGTGTGCAATTATTTTGATTTAACTAACTCTTGTACATGAACTATTGTGAAAAATATATACATTATTGATTTAAATGAATAGTACCTAATATAAAATAGAAGAATAGAAGCATATTTTGCATACAGTACTTATTACTGAGAAGCATATTATGCATATGTGACTCATGAGGGAGACCAGTTGTGGGGGTTTAGGGCGGGGGGGAGCAAAGCCCCCATCCCCCCCTTGGTAGCGCCCCTGCTCAAGAGTTGCTCACAAATGTGTAGACAACAGTTTGTCTTTTGGTCAACTTGGCTTTGTTTTAATGTTGATGCTGTGCAGTTGCTTTGGGATTTTCTTAGATACCACAACAAGACATTCAATTCAGCTTGCCAAGTCCTGATGTCTCTCAGAGCAAAAAAAGACAGGTCCGTTGCATAACTGAGTTTTTAAAAAAAATAATGAATGCATTTATATGCAGATGTAGTTTCTCTCTGATTGAGTGGAATGCAGACCACTGTGCTCTGCTCGAGCTTTACTCCTGGATCCCTCTTTACAAACTTGTTCCTGACTGAACCTCTCGCCGCTATTGAGTGGGTGTGGAGGATTGAAGCAAACACAATGGTGGCCCTCCACAAAGGGAGCAGACAGCTAGGCAGATCTCTTGTCCCCTGTAACTTCGAAACACAGATTCACAGCAGTCACATATCCAGCTTTTTTTCACTAAAGATGCACACTAGACATGAATCTATAATTTTATTTAGTCAGGAGAAAAATTGATTGAATGTTGCTGAGGGTGTAAAAGTATTTTTCAGACTCATCTCTATCCTCTGATTACCATGCAGCGGCTGGTCCCCTGAAAGAAGGCAGAGTGAATAGTGATGGCCGTGATGAGAGGGTCGAAGGTCACTTTTGTGATTCCTGCTGCTTTTCTTCAACCGCATCATTCAGCAAACTCTGCGTGAAGCTATACAGATGTTCCACCAAGTGTGGGCATTTATTTTTCCACTCCTCTGTGTGTATGGCAGATGGATGGCAGGGTGGTGTGTGTCTGTGTGTGAGGCGTGCACACATGCACCCTTTGTGTGTGTGTTAGTGTGTTTGTGTGTGAACTCCATCCCGTGGGAAAGGCCTCTGGCTGCTAGATTAGAGTGATTGTGTAATGATGCGTAAACTGCCCTTTCAGCTGAGCCCCAGACGTCCCCTGAAGCACGGGGAAGATCAAAAAAATTATAACAAATCTGATCAAAATGCTTGAAATAGGTTTTCAGTCCCCATCTTATTATACAGGAAATTCTCATTTAAATTACATAACGCTGCTACTGATGTGCCATATAGGAATAGATAGAAAAAAACTATTTGTATTAATTGTGTTATTTAAAAACATCCCAAATGAAAATATATCTGGAAATTATTAGGATGTCGCTACAATAGAACAACTGTACTGAACAAAACTAAAAAATACTTGCAAATTATAGGCTAACAAATGTTAGACTGCAAAAAATGTTGTTTAAAGGATCTTTAATGACAGCAGGGAAGTAAACTGTTAGTGTAGTTTTGATTCAGCATTGCCACTGAACATGAAGCACTTTAATTTCAAACTTTTACTTCTTTTTTTGTGACTTATTCAGGTTGCAAGATGAGATTGGCCTCCGACAGGATGCAGAGAACAATTTGAGTACCTTCAGACAGGTAATTCTGCCGACATTTCTCTGAATTCATGATCTAAACAATATCCTGTATACATTTAATATGCCTGCATGTCCACACGCATTCCTCTATGTGCCTCATTCTTTGCATAGGATGTGGATGAGGCAGCTCTAAATCGTGTCCAGCTAGAGAGGAAGATTGATGCCCTGCAGGATGAGATAAACTTCCTGAAGAAGACTCACGAGGAGGTAAGACGTAAATTGAAATAAACATGCTCAATCAATTAACTTTCACTACATGTACTTTTAACCACATTTAATGAATGTGTTCTTTTCTGCACTTCTTCCACTACCTCTCCAACTCTCAGGAGCTGCGTGAGTTACATGAACATATCATGGCCCAGCAAGTGCATGTTGACCTGGATGTATCCAAACCAGACCTGACTGCTGCTCTGAGAGACATCAGGGTCCAGTATGAAACCATGGCCACTTCAAACATGCAGGACACAGAGGAGTGGTACCGATCCAAGGTCAGAAGATTCAGAGTACTAAGAAGTAGAGTAAAACTCATCCAACATTACATTTGTTGTGACTTTAAGTCCTTGTGAGGACAGTGAGGTGTACAGCAGAACGAGCAGTGGACATCACACATGCTTACAGCCTATTTGACTGTTTGCCTTTGTACACAGTTTGCTGACCTGACAGATGCAGCCAATCGAAATGCAGAAGCCCTGCGTCAGGCCAAACAGGAGGCCAATGAATACCGGCGTCAGATCCAAGGGGTGACCTGTGATCTCGAGGCTCTCCGCGGGACAGTAAGTCCACTAAACCACAGATAACACAGTGTGAAAATTGCAAAACATATTAAGATGGACATGATGCAGCTTCTTCAATTACATATTAAATGTCATGGACAATTCAATGATACTTTTCACTCAAATTACAGTGAAATCACACAGTATTAAGAAAGTGACAACTAACATTAGCCTAATGCTAGTTGGCACCATTTTTATTTCATGTCGACTCTGCTGGAGAGACAAAAACAGTGGAAGATATTGTGCTAATAGTAGTGGTAAAAAAGCAGAAGTAGGACTACTAGTATTGTAGGAAATTCTTTTCTCATTAATTGTAAAGTCATGATGTGTTCATGTTAACCCAAAAAGCATTACGAAGAGTTGCATGGGTCATTTCACTTTACAGAGCATGGGAAATTTAGTGATAAGATGGTCCAGGTGAAGGTTTTTTCTATGACAGTATATAACAGTAATAATGGTAGTAGTTGCACGTAACTGCAAAAAGTAGAGGTAGTAGTGTTAACAGCATTGGTAGGGTGGTAGGTAGTACACTAATAGTAGCAGACTTGATTGTAAAACTAACATTGCACTGCAATCTGAGTAGAAGATGAAGCCTCATTAACCTACAGTCTGCTGCATTAGATGTTGGTGTTAACTCTTGTATCTTCTCTTTGAGAACGAGTCTCTGGAACGCCAGCTCCGGGAGATGGAAGACCGCTTCACCATGGACACTACTGGTTACCAGGATACAGTGAGCCATCTGGAGGAGGAAATCCAGGCCCTTAAGGAGGAAATGGCGAGACACCTGCAGGAATACCAGGACCTACTCAACGTCAAGCTGGCCCTGGATATCGAGATTGCCACCTACAGGAAGCTGCTGGAGGGAGAGGAGAGCAGGTGAGCCCGAGCTTGACAGACTGGTTAGGTTTGACACAACCAACAAATGTAAACAAATTATGATCGTAAATCTTGTTTGTCAGTGATTGTAGTTGTCTCTTTTCTGTTCCTCCAGGATCACCATTCCAGTTCAGAGCTTTTCCAACCTGCAGTTTAGAGGTCAGTCCCAAATGTGACACCCCCCTCTATTCTCTTCCCTTTATTGATTTAGCTGATTTTGCTGCACACAGACCAAATTTCCTAGCAAATTTCATGTACCTTATATTGTAATATTTCTTGTTAACAAGTAAACATTTTGGCCTAACGGTGGCACTAGAAGAAAGGTCCAGGGGTCACCAAAATCATTAGTAATCATTCTTTGGGTACCATGAATATCCATAGAAAATTTTGAGTTACTGGTTCACATCTGGCTATTCCCTGTCTGTCTTTCCCAACATTTCCTGTTGGCTATCTAGTAAAGGAATAAAATATCAAATAATTTAAATAAATAAAAACATAATGGCCATCTGGCCCAGGTATTTATTCAAAACAACTTTCTTAGCATCTTACATGTTTTTTGCACCCTGAATGTCATATTTTGGAACGGGGAGGATTCTGACTTTTCCTGCTGAATTTGAGGGGGTGTGGTTGTCATTCCAGTATCCTTACCTTTTAAATTTACAACATGTACTGTACTAATAGTACTGGATCACAGAGTAAAAGGAGGGGACGATGAACTCCCTCTATTCACCCTTTAGAAACTAATCTGGACACTAAAACCCCAGAGGCCCACGTGAAGAGGAGCATCCTGGTTCGAACTGTGGAGACCAGAGATGGGGAGGTATGTGCTTTTACAAAACAACAGAGTTGTACTCACTCACACTGAAGCAGGCCAATCTGCAAATTGCACCCATTCCCTCTGGAGGGCAATGTTGAACCCTTCTGCAGGTTTTCACTCACATTCAACACACCTGATGCCATATGCAGCAAAAACCCACCAGAGATTTGTTCTTTATTTTCTATTTTTAACTAAGATCCCTTTTCTTTCAGATCATTAAGGAATCAACAACTGAGCACAAAGATCTTCCATAAAGTTTTACAACCAGCTCGCCCATCTCCAGTCACGATCCGATGATTTTGAACAAGTTCTACAACATTTTTCTTTCCAAACCCCAGAGTCATCCCATCATTGCAATTTCCTCTCCTTTCAACATCACCTGCAGGCTAATATATTTACTGCTCTACAACCATGACATAAGCATTAAATACTCCTAGACTCCCTCATTAGAATGTCTGCCAGAAACATCTATGCATGTAAGAGCTTGAGTTGGATGTAGGTCAGTCATCTTAAATGCATAAAAACAGTAAAAACTACTGAAAATAACTGATACCTTGTTTTATTTTAACTTTTATTTTAGCATTCTTTCAGATTAGCAGCCCTAGAAGAGGCACTGAAACGTAGCGATTGTGTCCAATATGTATCGTGGTGGAGGTTGACATGTGGTTATGTGTATGTGAAATGTGGCAAGGGAAGTACAAGATGGAGTTTACAGACTCAGTCAGAATTGGATTTAGGCAGGAAATGAAAGATGTGTATGTTAGAGCAGCTTTTTGGCAGAACGATATTTTTAACCCTTGTCTGGTGCTATTTTGTATTTCATTCCTTTGTTGTAGCAGCCACCTCTTTTTGTGTGTTGCATCTCTTATTCAATTACCTGCACAGGTGTTTTTAATTAGAACAGTTCTCTCTTGATTAGATGAGTGCTATTGGAGTTGCTGTGCTTGAGTTTGCAGAGATCATGAAAGTGCTGATGTTACTTTTTCACATGTCACAACCCTCCAAAACCTCATTGAGTGGCCAGACAACCTGCTGTGGCTGGTTTTGATGGGTAAAACTGCGAAAACCATGATATATGACCTCTTGTATCCACTCTGTTTGAACTTTACTCCATCACTTCACGGTTGCTCTTCTGCACCCTCTACTCATCACACTGGTGGTATCATCTGTCTCTTGAACAATACCTTATAAGACATATTTTTTGACACCAGGATGTGTCAGGGCATGCCTGTTTATCTAGCAGAGTTGATAAGGACAGAGCCAGGTTGGAGGTGTGGATGAGGTGTTTGGATGCTGACATGACCTTTCCCCTAACAGCCTCCAGTTAATCCACCATCCCTCATCCATATTTACCAGCCAATTTTTGTTGTGTTTGACACCACAGACACCACACAACACAACACAACCCTGCACCAGAAGCTCTTTTTTTTATTTTGAAAGGGAGGATGCTGGGGTAAAAAGGAAAGGAGAATAGAAGGAAGTACGGATGGTCGCCATAGCTCAAACACTGTAATCCAAGACTCGTGCTTTGTTGGAAGCCCCGCTGACTGAAGCCGTTCTGACAGGCCCTGCCACTAATGAGAGTGGTTCTACGCCAAAGCTGGCTGTCGCTGTGCTCGTCGCCAAGGACACACTGAGAATTTGTGTTCCCATGTGTCTCCCCTCCACAACTTCCACCCCTGTACTAGACCCCTCCTCCCTCCTCCTGTTTCTTCAAATAACATGCAGCCCACCTCTTGTATCCACTCTGTTTCTTTTTAAATGTTAATCCTAAACAGTATTTCTGAGTCTTGTAGCAAAGACACAGATGAATCCTGCAGATGTGAATAGAACATTAGTTTTGAGCAAGGCTACATGCTATGACATCATGTTAACAAAAATAAAACATTTTGTTTGTTAGAGTTTATGCCCTCTTATTTTGTTCTTTCTAACAAGCTTTCCATTCATTTTCCATGACAGTTCATATGTTTGAAGTTACTTTGCTTCTGGTTCAGTACTGACACATACAGTATATCATCTTTCATCTCACTGAAATGAGTGTTATATATGCTGACAGTTAACTTCAGGGTATCAGAGGGCTGACAGATACTATTCATCATAACTGATTGTTTTTGCCCGTTGGCCAGGAAGTACTGCTGAGCAGATGGGTACACTAAGGAATTTATTTGTAATTGTCCTTATAGATCAGTTTGGTTAGTTTGAGTTGTTAAAGGATAGTTCATCATATTTTCACGTTTGTCTTAACCAGTAGTGAGGTACCAACAGGAGGTTTCATCTTAAATGGTTATTATGGTCCTGGTTATGAAGAGATCACTCCCTAAACGGATTTTAAAGTAAGTCATGGGGACAAAGTTCAAAACCGTCATTTTGTTCAAAAAGAAATGAGAAAGTTTAACCAAATAAGGCTTGAGCAGGTTAAGTTAGAACACATTGTTTTAGTACAAAATGTCCTCTTTGTGCTGCTATCCCCCCACAGCAATACTGCTTTGACTGGCCCCCTTCACTACAACAAATACTTTTTCCCAATTAGGAAAGCTTGAACCAACTGAAAACACTCAAGTGTTGTTGCCATAGTCAATGTCAAGTATTGTGACTATTCTGTTTATGAGGATTCAAGCAGTGTTAGATATATAATAATTTATAAAATAACCAATAATTTAAAATAGTTTATTTCATTGTCAGAAACAGTTGGAAAATGACTTTGAAAGAGGCTCATAATATAATCTAAATTAAAAACATTGATGGCTCATTGGTTAGAGTGAACGTTTTCATTGATTCTGTCATAAATACAAGCATGACAGCTATTTTGAGCTCAGAGCTCTTCCTCAGGTAGCATAAAGAGGCTCAAAATATTAGATTATGCCTTCTCTTTCTTGTCTTCTGCTACTCAGACATTTAAGAAGAAAGCAACGAAAGCATGATGACATTAGAAAACTTCTTAATATGGTCAAAAAACACAAGTCGTCTAAGCATCATTATCATTTGCCAAACTAAACATTTGTGTAAATTAAAGTTACAAGTGATTTCAATGCTTTTAAAGACCCAACATGGTAATCCAGATATCCAAGCTTTCCAGCCCGCACATAGACGAGGCATTAGGTGCTAAAAATTTTATTCAAGTCATCACAAAAAACTTTTCAAACTTGAGCTCCGCAATATTTGAGAGAAATGCATAATAGCGTCAAGTACGTCTCCCATGCCTCTGTAGAAAAACATGCTCTTCTAGTATTCTCTTCTCTCTTTTGGGTGATGTGTGTATTAAACTGTAAATCTGTAACTGAGTGTGTGTAAAGTACAGTATGTATCTGTTTTGTCAAACCTTATCAGAGGAATGGAGGATCTCAGGTCTGCACTGAAGGCGACCCTGAGCTGAAGGAATTCCAGGCAGATAAAACTCTCAAGCGGTCGGGACTTTGGCCCAGATGTCTGGCTCTAAAACACTTTCCTGTCCATTGCTGTTTCACAGTGCCTGGAAGGGGTGGAAGGTGACGGAGATTGGCATTTTTAAGCTCATTATCTTTCCACAGCTAGCGGAGGATGACAACAGCTGTCATCTAAGCTATAGAAAACATACAGTCACCTAGTCTCCTTAGAAAATCCCAACACTTTTTGTTGAAAGACACAAGCATGGAGTCCAGGAACTATAGGCACAATGCAAATACCCTTAAATGTAAAGTAATATTTTCATATTTCCAATACAATTGTTTCTCATTGGCTTCAGCAATCCAAGCTACCCTGCGTGGATAAGTGGATATAGAAGATGGATGGATGGATGGAAATCTGCATCTGACCTGAAACTGCATCAAAATACACTTGAGTTGAAACAATAATAAACCGATTTATTGCTACATGGATATGCTTTTTTTGATTGTCCATTTTTGTGTCCATTTGGGTTTTGGACTGCTGATTGGATAAAACAACATATCTCAAAATCATCTTAAGGAAATTGTGACAGGCGCATTTTTTACTCTTTGTGACATTTTATGGATCAAGCTATTAATTGATAAATTGAGAAAATACATTGTGATGGATAATTATAGGATGTGCCAGACATGTGCCATTAACAAAAATGTTAAGATATGCCCTTCAATATTCCTGGATCACCACCCAGATGTTGATCCACTCAAAAACTTCTAGTGCTAATTTCAAGTTAGATATCTAGCTGACTAAGAAACACACAAACAAAAAGACAAAAAGAACCGAAAACATCCTTGGTGAAGGTAAAAAAAAAACTTAAATGCTTATATGAGGAAACAATCAGAGGGATGCTGCAGGTCCTCCAAACTCACATGTATCATCCAGTGTTGGAGCCAGGGCTCTTTGTCTTTAGGGCTCTTTGTCTTTCGCTGCCCTCTTTAGTGCACATTCCTGTCTTACTTGGCTCTCACACCAAGGGACCATGGGTTAATTTTAGCCCCCATTTCATCAAGGCAATTGAGACAAAACACAGAGCAACCACCTCAGCCCGTCTGCCGGACCATGAAGCCACATTCCCTCTGATCTCCAGACACCCTTTACAGACTGAACCACTGTATCAGTGAACATGTGATCATAGCAACTACTTTTATTTTCTCAGATGTATAGGTCACTCATGAACAGTCTCCTAATGGTCTTTATTTTAATAGGTCACATCTACACTCAGCTATCCATTGGCTCAAATATCCATTGGAATGAATATCATTATGGATTTTAGATTTAGACAATGAATGCAGGTGTCGTGTTAGTGTTGCGATTGGTGGAAGTATGGTAGGATCCGCCAAGATACTGAGCTGTAAATACCACTAAGTCAGTAAATGTCACTCAGCCTAGTTGGTCAGTGAAACTCTTCAGTGGTAGCTATTCCCAAACAAAACTAACAATGTGCAGCGTGTGTGTGTTAAAAAGACATTTGGAGCCTCTCCATGAGACTTTTAAGTAGGTATACACTTGAAACTCTGGCTTGGAACGGCTGCACTGTTTCTGAATATGTAGCTTGTGCCAGCTCAGTGTCTTCTTTTTGGTTTCAGGGAGAGAACGGAGTCCTTTAAGTCTTTTTAGACCCAGGTAAAACACTTTGACCTCAAATCAAGTCATGTGACTCAAGTTCCCTGAAGTTTGCATGTCTGTAAGACTGTGGGTTTCCACTCCTGTTAACACTCACCTTTTTAAATTGTTGACCCTTTTGTGTTTTGACAGCTCTGTTTTTGCTATAGTGGCATTTGCATGCCCAGTTCTTCCTGTTGTTCAGAGAAAGAAACAGCTTTAACATGCAAACCAAAAAAGTTTCTTTATATTTAAAGGGGACATGACAACACACGTACACAGACAACTATATGATACAAGAGCGCCATTTTAAAGCTTATCAGTACTATAGATTAATATAATACTCCAGAAGTGTGATGGCAGCCACAAGCAAGAGGATGCCGCTATTTTGAGCCTAAAGACTTGTGATGTAAAGTGAAGCAGAGTAGATTCATGAGGGTCTGCACTCTATCAGTGTCAGACCACTGTCAAGTAGCCCACAATAGAGTAAACATTAATTCAGGACACAGATTTCAAAATAAAATATCCCGTTATTAAGAAATAGCTTCTGTTAAAGTATTATTAAGTCATTCAAAGCCCCCTAATCCCAACATACCCCAACATTTAGTACAGTACCCCTAAATCTTTGCCCTGATGTCTTTTTTATAATCCCAACATTTATTACAGATTACCTCTATATATTCTAAAATTTAAAAAAAAGATTCATTGTGTTTTACCTTGCTTGACTCAAATGCAGAATTAAGTCAGTAGTGATAATAAGGTTTTTTTATTGACGAAAGGGAATGGTGACGGAATAAAAGCCGGGGATGGCGATCCAGAACTGGCTGGGAGTGTGGAGGTCATGGCGCAGAAGGAAAATGTAGGAAATAGTGTTCTGTGGCGGGGTGGCAGGCCACCTTGTTTGTTTCCCATTTACAGATCCAGCACACATACAAAACGGACATCTAGTGGACCGTGAGGAGATATTTGTTAAATTTGCCAAAAAGATTTGTTTTGGTTTAGAGTCAGTTACCCCAACTTTAATGTGAGGCAATACAAACAATATGCAAGAACAAGCAGTGATTGTTAGAAAACAAGCCAGCTGTGTAGGCTGGATGGTTATCAATGATACTGGGAGTGAGGAGTGCGTCTGGAGGAGACAGTGGGCTGTTGGAGACAGATTTCAAGAGAGACATAAAAGTGGGGGCAATCCTCATGTGTGAGGAGAGCTTGAGTCTGACAACAGAAAGGTTGATGATAGCTTTGATTTCCAAACGTTACAGGGAGTGAGCTTCTTAGATGCATTTTTAAAGGAAGATCTTCAGGAGAAAGCCTGACCTGGAACATACAAGATGTGGTAACTGAACTGACATAAAACACACATTTTTCACAAAAAGCTTGATCTGATTATCCGATTTGATATACACTGGTTGACAGGATCCTGAGAGTGTTCACCTTACAGAGATCTTGAAACAAACATCATCTTAACTTATTTCTGCAGGCTTGTGTTCAGAGAAAAAGAAGAGAAGTATGTGTCTTTATTTTGAAAGTCTATCAAAAGTCCTTTCCGTTTTTGTCCTGGTTAACTTAGACTGACAACACTGCCGACAGCCGCTCTTATCGAGCTTCGAGGCGGTGGAGGGACAGTGGATCCAGGGAATCTGGCTAATAGGAGCTTCTTCTCCGCCGTGTCCAAACTTGAGAGATAATTCTGCGTTTATAAAAAAAAAAAAACCAGAGATATCCTGCTCTCCTCAGCTTCTGTTCCCAACCTCTTCTCCCAAAACAGGTTCCCTTCACCGACTAGAGGACACCAAACTGTGGGATTGATTGTACTCTTTGTTTTTCTTTTTAGAGGTGAAGGGATGTTTGACATGGCGTTTGCAGTATTTTAGACTACTTTTT